AATGTCATCACGGGGTTAGTATTTTATTCTTGTATTTTGCAGCCAGTCCCGTGAGTGACAAACACAGTTAAGTTGACAACCTGCATGAGGTAGAGGTTTTTATCAAGAGGATGAATCAAATCCAGTGTTTGCAATATTGGCAGCGCTACCCGGAAATTCCAATCACGCTCATACATTATCTTAAATACAGATCGATATAAGGTATACATGTACTTGGAATATCCTGGGAAGCGCTGCCAATATTGCCAGACTGGATTTGTTTCATCTTGTTGATAGATACCTCATTTGTCACGGATCAGCTGTAGCAAGGGGAATCAAATCAATTTAAATCCAGTCTGGGGTCGGCTAAAGAGTTTCATCTTGCAACCTAGTAGTAATGCCATCAAGATTGGAAAGCCAAAAAAGTACTAACTCGCAAGTAAATTAATTGAAAAGCACTGCACCGCAAAAACACTTACTTTTTCGAATTCGAGACTGATGAAAAATGCACCGTAGACAGGCAACAATACTCGTCTCGTTAGAGTTGTTCAACGGATTATACACCTTATTACTATACTGTAGCCTTGTACGCGTATCTACAGGCATTGGCAGAACTTGGTACAGAGGTAAACCAAAGTATATATAGGTATGTCCTCTGTACATAAAAGATCGACACACACGGTCACTACTTGTACAATGGCCTTTTCAACCATCGACGTGTAAGGCCGAAGGTGAAGTTGCTATAAAGCGCATACACTTTTGCCCTTGATCGCTAATCGGTCGTCGTCAGGGTGACCGTAAGTTCATGGCCAAATTCTGCTCAACGCAGTTCGAAAATCTGTCAGATTTATCAAAAATCTGCCAAATTCCCCAGAATTTCTCGAAATACACTAAACACTTAAAATCACATGCAGATGTTGTAGTGTTGCCTTAATTAAGGTTCAATTTACATTATAAACAATATATATATATATATAGTCACATATAAAGATGTTATGAAATTGCATAAATTTCAGGCAAAACGCGGTTGGCTCACGACGCAGTCCGGTTCCCAGTGAACCTCAGCACCTAGACCAGCCAACCTGTCCCATTATGCAAGGGATTTTTGAAAAGATTTCGATTTTTTAAACAAAATGTTTTTCTGTCAAATAATATTTTTTGTAGAATTAAGCCAGAAATCTGCCGAAAAAAAATCCATTCTGTCAAATTTTCTGTTCAACTCGTTTTTTAACAAAAAATATGTCAAAGTTAGCTGAAAATCGGCTAAAACGGTCACCATGGTCGTCGTGGCACATCATATGCATTTATACAAGGACATTATTTAACAAAGAAAGCCTTTATCGCACCGAATTAGAATCTATTTTATATTAATGTGTTTTTTTTGGTAGAGATATATAGTGGATATGAAAGTTTCAAGCGGCAACAAGATAATAACATGCACGAAAGATCTTGACATAAATTTAGTTGAAAGATGTCAACTTAATAATCTGCGAATTAAATTTAAAAGTTCCGTACGTATTTGGAAAGCAGTTTGGATCAGGATAGCTGTTTACGCTTGAGTTATATACGCTATCAATTATTTACCCGAGCGTTTGATAACGTTGATCGTGTTGTTGAAATGTATTAATACAGTCGCGCTGTGAATAATGCTGGAGAACCTGAACTGCTTTGAGTAGGCCTACATGTACACAATACTAGTGATTATCACAAAAACTTGTTGTCATTGAGATAGCATAACGGTTAAGGCATGTTGAGATACCGCGGCGACCTCCATTTCACCAACCGCTAACCCTTCTCGGGAGGGGGGTCCTAATTTTCATATACGCGCAACAAACGGCCGATTTCACAAATTTCACGTGAATGTACAATATACCATTTTATTTATTTATTTATTTTATTTATTTATTTATTTCAAAATCTTTATACAGGATACAAAATATCAGCTCAAAGGCTGTTTTACATTATGGTCCTGTGATAAGAAATAAAAACATTTAAAAATAGTAAGAGAAAAAAAAACAGCAATTTAAAAAATGAAAAAAAATAAAATTTTAAATATAGTATTTTCTTTTCTTTTATGAATTACTGTCAAGAAATCCCCCCAAAAAACAAAGGCGGAAAGTATCAAAATAATTTTTTTTTCGCGCCAATGACGGCCACATTGGATTCCCTGCTTGCAGTGTAGTTGGTCACTTGAACATGTTTGTTTTAAGTGGATCCTGATATGCAAAAATACATTGTTCTTACGAAATGCATAATTCCACGTACATTTTTGTACAGAAAAAAATGTAAAGGGACGTGAATTTTACTTAGAAACATATTGTGTTCAAATGTCTGCTCTTAAATTTATGAAAAGTATTTGACATCCCTTTTTGGTTTATTTTATTGAAAAGTACACTAAACAAATTAATGTTGCATGGTTTTTCCTGACACAATTCTGATGGCGCTGTTGCTGCGAGTGTGATAGGAAGACGCTTCCGTGATAGGTTTCTGTTCAAATTGTTAATAAAAAATGCTTATTGAAAACGTTTGTTTGAAAAGTGTGCTCATGGCTTACTATCATGGTGCCGTCCCATAGGCAGAGTCAGGAGACGGGGGCTCATTTTACGGGGGCGCTCGACATCTTTCCCCAGTCGGAATATGTGGCGGGGGGCACCCAAACGGGGTAGCGTTAAAACAATTTCCCCAAAATGGCACCAACAAAGATAGGGCCCACAGCGATGATATTCGAAGGGCCCAGACAAAAAAAAACATGTTTGTTTTTAATTAATGAAAATAAGAAAATACATAGGCAAACAACACAGGGCGTGGCTACAAGAAATTAACTTGAAGAAATAACAACGAACACGACCTGCGTATTTGCTGGGGACTGAAGTAACTGGCACAGTACAAATGGCACTAATCAAAACATTGAAACAACTGCAGATCTCAAATGATAAACGCCATAAAACCATTCACAATAGCAAGGACCAACTGTATGTGCCGTTTGTGGTAAGGGGTTTAGTGAGTTACATTGCCTGCGAACACTAACAGATAATTTTGGCCAAAACAAAGCAAATTGTTGTACTGCGGACGCTATTAGGTTTTGTGATTTTTTTTTCTGTTGTGACACAAGTACATACATGGATTCACAACTTAACTACTTGTATGTTGAACTGGGCAGTGCCTAATAAGATAATTGTCTGCATGACAAGTCTGCGTTGGTAACGTAACAAGCGTGAACCTTTAGTTTGAGCTTTCGCATTCAGTTTTTATAGAAATTTATTTTGACCATTATATGCCACTTACCAGTGTACAATGTGTACACAAAGTTCTGCAGATTATAATACATAGTGTAAAGATTAGTGGCCAGATCATCCTTTATTACTGACCTACAATGACTCTTTCTGTTAAGTTTTACCACATTAAAGGGAAGATACAACATTTGCAAACATCAAAAAAGGAAATGATCAAATTATCACGAAATAACTTGCTGGATTGTTAGAGAAAGACTTGCATTTTTCCAACAATGGTCGGCCGACAAGCGTTGGAGAAACCTGGCTTTTTTTTCAAAAACTGCTCCTAAGTTTTCATATTTAGTTATTTCGCATTTTCTTTTCAGTTGATTACACACCCGTGAAGGGGAACAAGCCTGCTAGACCGATTTCCTGACCTAACAATTCCCCAAATTCTATAAATTGCTCTGTTTTATCTTAAGTGGGGTCAGGGAACAAGACTAGAAGAATACGATTGGTTTTCTTGGTTTTTCCAGGATCTACAGGCCCAAAATGTGAAACAAGTCAGTTAAACAATGTTTGCTATAACATACTAATCCTCCAAATCCATTGATTTCTGAAAATTGCAGCAAAAGCAAATGTTGTACATTTCCTTTAACAGAACTCAACCCATCAAGCCAAATGACATGTTTTGTTGGAATCTGTCAGGATGGGTACAGTACCCCTAAACTGACAGTCTTTTACATTGGGCTGGCACACCTCCAGAATCAAAGTCAGAAATATGTGTGTGTGTGCAGTTTCCCATACATGTATGGTGTTGGAATTTGCCAGCATGGGTATGCTTCCTAGTAAATCATGTAGGGAGTTAGGGTTAAACTTTTCTGTTTTATTGTACTTGTACATGTGTAACTGCTTTAAACATGTTAAATATTCCCAAATTGTTACTTTGAGATATCATGGCATTAGTTTCCATAAAATACATTCATTGTCGGCGCAATAATTAGTCGGAATGATGGGTGTTGTTTTCTTTCCAAATTCAGTTATCCTCTCAATTTCTTCAGCACAAATCAAACCCTGGAGTTTTAGGACGAGTTTCAAATTGTCCAAAACGGCCCTCTGTTCTTACAGGTACATGTATATCGGATTTTGATAAAATAAATATTATCAGCTACAGTACATGTGCCATTCACGGAATAAGCTGCAGATTCATGGAAAGATACCCTTCTCCTAGTTTTAGAAATATTTATTTTCCACATTTTTTGGTATTCCGCAGAAATGTTATTTCGGAAGCGTGATCTGCTGCCGATTCAGATCCTATGGAGTGTAAGCATGGTGTTATGATCAACTTCTAGTACAAGAGAATGGAATATCTGAACAAAATTGAATGTCTATTGTAGGGTGAGGAAAATCAATATACATGTACTTGTAAAGCTTAATCTCATATCACATTGTACAATATTTTTTATAAGCAGCAACAGTATACAAAAGCTAGCGTAATATAGGCATAACATATTAAAGAGTGGATTTGAATCAATCAGTCCAACAACAAAAAAGGCAAAATACATGCTTTACACGGTACTCAATTACTGTTATGAATAATGTAAACACATACATGTACAAAACATTCATAGAGTCCGTTTGAAAACTACTGCGAATGACTTCTACGTCGAATTAGGGAATATGTGTGTGATTGGCTGGTTTTAATCACTATGTTTAACACCGGGTTGGACTCTGGATGAGTCAAAAAGTCAAAACTGGTAGTATTGAAAAAAAAAAACTATTGCGCATGCCTACGAGAGGATTGTGAATGTTCAAACAATATTAAAAAATGGTAAAAGACACAGGATTTGATAGTCCGAATTTCATGCGACACTGAAAAAGCGTTTAAGACCAGCCAGTCATGTCTATCATCCGTTTAAGACCGGCACACGACCAAAAGGAATGGGTAAAGTGTCTTAGTAATAAGAATAACCAATATAAGTTACAGGTCTAATAGCCCAAAAAGTGATATATTGTATCAAATAATAGAGAGGAAAAAATTACGATTTGCCCAAATTAAAGCCATTTAATCAAACTTGTTTTTATATATTCCTTTTGCAATGTACATGTAATAATATGCTCGATGACAAATGATTCTTACACTTGAGCATGTTGGCAATAAACACCCTTTTCTGGCACTTACGTTACAAGGGCAGTAATTTTATTCACCAGAACTGAACAAATAATATGGCAGTTACTGACGCAACTATGGACAGACAAAGAAATTGGAAGGCCAGCGGAGAAGATTCACGTTTTACTTCCACGCGTCTTGTCACTGTCGGCGCCAGAACACGCTCCCAAACTGTGTTGATTGCCTTCTTGGCTTCCTCTGTCTTTCCGGGACCTGTCAAGCGATACACATACGGCACATGAGGGCCAAACAGGCACCGGAGAGTCAGCACAGGATGAGTGAAGAACAGCTTCAGGAAATTCGGTCTGGCACCAATTTCAGTAGCGATACTGTCTCCGTAAGCTACAGCGCCAACGTGTCGATGAGGGGGTAGAAAGCTCTTCTTCATCATCTCATCAGTCATCGTCACCTCAGCCTGCATCTCGAGCTGGGATGGAAGCTTGGCCAACCCTTTGAAGACCCTCGCAGCCCAGCGAGCCTGCAGCTCCACGCATGGGATGACAGCACCGAGAACTTCCATTGCCCCGCTAAATGAGAGAGTGTTGTGTTTCAGCCCAAGAGGGAAGACAAGCTTGTAGAGGGGAACTGAACCATCCTTCATCTCCAATGCAGGGCAGTCTACCTCAAATGGAATCTTGAAGCGGTACCCAGACGCCATGATGACAGCATCAATGTCATCCTCGAAGGTGCCATCTTCAAACTCAAGACCCGTCTTGGTGAACCTTGCTGGGCCTGCTCTGATAACGACAGACCCGTTCATGATACAATCTGGTAGCTGCTCACTCATCTGCGGCTCACAAGCCAAGAGACTGTGGGAAGGTTGCAGTGATGCCATGGCAAGTTTATTTCGACGCTCTATTGATTTCTTCAAGAGCATCATTTTTAACTTTAAAGGGACCCAGTAGTATCGACGAATTACTTCCAGGTCGAAAGGGTAGCCGTTATCCCCTCCTCGACCGGTAAGCCAAACTCCACGCCTGCAACTCAAGTACACCTGTCAAGACCAAAAACGTATTCGAAGGTTGAGTGAGCCTATGGTTTGCGAGGCAGCGACGTTAGAAGTTTTATGCCCAGCTTTTTGTTAAGCTTTTAAAAGCTGTAAATTAATAGAAGAATAACATTTTGGTTGGCGTTCCAAAGCTATGAAGCTTCGCCATTAGACGTTCATGACTTCTGTAATTGTAAAACATGAATGTGAGTCTTCGGCTTCATGATTGCGAGGTTATATGAGTTTTATGCCCAGCTTTTAGTTTAGCTCATAAGCTGTAACTTTCAAATAGAGAAATAATATTTTGGTTTGTGTTTCAAAGCTATGAAGCTTAAACATTTAGACGTACATTTGCATGACTTTTCTATGGGTAATACATGCATGTGAGGCCGATAGTCTTGTTCTAGCTTCATGATACAAGCGAGGTTATTTGAATTTCTCCTACCTGAGATGCTAGACGGCTGACATCCGTAGCTGCATCTCCTCCCGAATTACCAATCCCAACCACCACCACTCGTTTGTCTTTATACTCATCTGGCGTCCGGTAAGCCTGGCTATGTATTACCTTCCCCTGGAACACATCAAGACCTGGGAAGTCTGGGATGTGGGGGTTGTTGAACATCCCAGTGCAGATCATTACAGCATCAAACTCCTGGCTTGTCTCCTGGGATTCAGCCGATCCCTCTGGTTGAGTAGTGACAACCCATCGCCCAGTAGCCTCGTAATCTGGGGCCTGAGACAAGCGAGTCACTCTAGTAGAGAAGCGGATGTGCTCATTGAGACCAAACTTGTCGGCATACATGTCGCAGTACTTCTTTACGTAACTGTGACGCAGACTATTCGGCCACTCCTTGGGAAAGGGGAAGTCGCTGTAGCACATGCCCTCTTTGGTGCCTGTGCTGGTAGTCGATTTGTAGACCGTGGTCATCGCCTGGTGTTCACTGTTGTCGCGGTAGTACCAGAGACCGCCTATGTCATCTGCCCTCTCAATGCAAGTTGGTTGAAGGCCTTCGTCCAGGCAACATTTAACTGCCGCAAGGCCAGACACTCCGCACCCAATTATGGCAACTGTTTTGCTTGTAATCTCCATAACCTATAAACATAAAGCCAGTACTTATGCATGAGGTTTTTTTTTTTACGAACAGTAGCAATTGTCTCATACTTACGATGCTGGCCTATACACTAACGCTAAGTACTTATCGTAATTTGTTTGCGTCTGTTGTTTGGACCATAACTTTTATATGCTTCAACTTTGCTAGTTCCCTTACAGAAATGTCCCATGAGCATCCCATGGGATTCCCATGGGGTCCCATGGGATTCCCATGGGACCCCATGGGAAACCCATGGGGTCATCAAGAACACCATGTAAGTTAAAATGATCATCATGGGAAACCCATGGGAACACCATGGAGATTGCATGGACAACATGGGAACACCATGGGGATTTTACGAGCTCCATGGGAACACCATGGGGATTTTATGAGCTCCATGGGAACACCATGGGGATTTTACGGACACCATGGGAATACCATTGGGATTTTATGGACATCATGGGAACACCATGTGGAATTAATGAACACCATGGGAACATCATGGGAATTTATGGACACCATGGGAACACCATGGGAACCCCATGGGGATTTTATGGACACCATGGGAACACCATGGGGATTTTATGGACACCATGGGAACACCATTGGGATTGTATGTCACCATGGGAACACCATGGGGATTTACTGGACACCATGGGAACATCATGGGGATTTTAGACACATGGGTACACCATGAGGATATGGGGGTTTTAGACACATGGGTACACCATAATGTGGGTGATATAAATTATGGATACAATGGGAACACCATGGAGATTTAAAAGGCAGCACGGGGACACTGCCGGGTTATACTGGAGAACATGCATGTGCCATGAAAAACCATCATAGACCCAATTGCACTCCCAAGTTATAGGCAAACCTTTCTTTGATTTAATTACTTATTCGCCTAGCTGTAAATTTGAATTCAATTAAAAATATTTCCCTTGTGGCCATAGAGGTTATCAAGAATTCTATTTGTTAAGCTGACCATGGGAAACTCCTGTGGATGTTCACCAATTGAACACAATGGGATAAACACCATGGGACACCATGGGAACACCATGGGACACCATGGGACCACCATGGGACATTTTTGTGAGAATCTCTTACAATAACGAGTGTTGTAATTGCACATTTTTGAATTTTTCTGTTTATAAGTGAAGTTAAATGATGCATACACTATTTTTTTATGTGGACAATGTGTCATTCAAACTTTGGATAATATTGATTCATTTATTATTATGGTTGGAAACATTTATGAGAAAATAAATTGGGAACACTGTGATAATATGGTACAACTTGACAAGCGGTATGGGAGCAATGATGTGGACTTTAGTCGAAGAGTGCACAAGCCACTCCTATTACGTGGAACAACCCCCATCGGAGTTCCGTGATGTGCTTTACCAATTTGGTGAATAGCACTTAACACACAGGGTTAAAATGTGTAGGAAGTTGTTATTGAAAAATACCATGGAGCAACAATTTTTTTGAGAAATGAAAGGAAACCATACATGGGAAAAAGCCCATACAAAATTTCCCATGGGAAAAAGCCAATGGGAAAACTCCCATGGGAAAAATCCCATGCTACATGGTGTCCAATTCACCATGCAATTCCCATGGGGTCCCATTGGAAAAATTCCCATGGGAATCACATGGGACATTTCTGTAAGGGTTATTTGTGCACTCAACAGTCAAACAGCAAAACGAAGACTTGTATTTGTAATTCTTCTTTTTTTTTGGTTGTCGTCCATACCCGCCCCAACACACACAACTTAATTCTCTTTTCACAAGTTTCATGTGTTGCCCGTCAACCCGCAGATAAAAAATTCATCACGGGTTTATAGTTTATTATTATTTTTGTATTTTGCAGCCAGTCCCGTGAGTGACAAACACACTTAAATTGACCTGAGGTAGAGGTTTTTATCAAGAAGATGAATCAAATCCAGTGTAGTTGGCAATATTGGCAGCGCTACCCGGGAAATTCCAATCACGCTCATACATTATCTTGAATACAGATCGATATAAGGTATACATGTACTTGGAATATCCTAGGTAGCGCTGCCAATATTGCCAAGACTGGATTTGACTCATCTTGTTGATAGATACCTCATTTGTCACGGATCAGCTGTAGCAAGGGGAATCAATTCAATTAAATCCAGTCTTGGGTAGGGTTGCCCAACATTGAAAACCAGAGTCGGCTAAAGAGTTTCAACTTGCAACCTAGTAGTAAATCCATCACGATTGGAAAGCCAAAATAAAGGTACATATAGCTCGCAAGTAAATGAATTGAAAAGCACAGTCCCGTCAAAAAAAATACTTACTCTTTCGAATTCAAGACTGATGAAAAATGCACCTTACACAGACAACAATACTCGTCTCATTAGAGTTGTTCAACGGATTATACACCTTACCATTGTAGCCTTGTACATGTACATGTATCTACAGGCATTGGCAAAACATGGTACCGCGAGGTTAACCAAAGTCCTCTGTGCAGTAAAGATCGACAAACAAGATCACTACTTTTGTAAGTTGACCTTTTCAACGGTCGACGTGTATATAATAAGGCCAATGTATAAGGTCGGAGGTGAAGCTTCTAAAGCGCATTGTATGTTTGCCCTTGACCACTAATCGGTCGTCGTACGTCGTTGCACATCATATATTTATACAAGGGCATTATTTAAAGGGAATATACATCATTTGCTTTGGCTGTAATTTTCAGAAATGGATGGAATTGGGGGGTTGGAAATATATAGCAAATATAGTTACACTGACTTTTTTGAGGTTTTGGGTTCAAAAATGCTATAAAAACCAAGAAAAACAATCATTTTCCTGTAGTCTGGTTCCCTGACTCCATTTAGAAAGCCTTTATCGTACCGAATAAGAATCTATTTATATAACTGTTTTTGGTAGATATAATATAGTGGATCTGAAAGTTTAAACAAATTAATAACATGAATGGAAGATCTTGAAATAAATGTATACAATTAAGCTGAAAGCTGTCAACTTAATAATCCGTCTGCGAATTAAATTTAAAAGTTCCGTACGTATTTGGAAAGCAGGTTGGATCAAGACCGCGTCAACTATAATACACTTGAGTTATTTAACTATCAGTTATTTACCCGAACGTTTAATAACGTTGATCATGTTGTTGAAATGTACTTTTTTTCGCGCCAATGACGGCCACATTAAGTTGGATTCCCTGCTTGCAGTGTAGTTGGTCACGTGAACATTTTTGTTTTAAGTGGATCTTGATATGCAAAAATACATTGTTCTTACGAGATGCATAATTCCACGTAAATGTACATGTTTTTGTAAAGAAAAGAAATGTAAAGGGACGTGAATTTTACTTAGAAACATATGATGTTCAAATGTCAGCTAAATTATGAAAGTATTTGACATCCCTTTTTGGGTATTTTTATTAAAAATTGCATTAAAAAATGTTGCATGGTTTCCTGACAAAGTTCCGATGGCGCTGTTGCTGCGAGTTTGATAATAGGAAGACGCTTCTGTTATAGGATTCCGTTCAAATTGTAAAAAAAAAATGCTTATTAAAAACGTTTGTTTGAAAAGTTTGCTCATTGGCTTCAAGTTATGCTATCATGGTGCCGTCCCATAGGTAGAGTCAGGAGACCGGGCTCATTTGACGCCAAGGGGCGCTCGACATCTTTCCCCAGTCGCAGTCGGAATATGTGGCCGGGGGGGGGGGGGGGGGGGGGGGTCGAGCCGCTACCCAAACAGGGTAGCGTTATAACAATTCCCCCAAAATGGCATCAAAAAGATAAGGCCCACAGCGATTATATTTGGCGGCGCGGGCCAAGACATAAACATTATTTTTTACCCAAACAGTCCTGAATCCTCCAATTTTAATACGATTTTGCACACCCCCTAGGGAGTTAAATTAATGAAAATAAGAAAATAGACAGGCAAACAATACAGGGCGTGGCTTCAAGAAATTAACTTGAGAAATAACAACGAAAATTACCTGCTTATAGGGCTGGAGTAACTGGCAAAAATGGCAAATCAAAGAAATTGAAACAAAATATATGTACGGGAAAAATCAAAGAACTAAATCACAGAGACCTATCTGTATAACGCAACAAACTCGGGCCTGATGTTCTTTGATCGACCCGCTGATCAGAAATGACCACACGTCAGTCGCTTCGCTAAAGGGGGGGGGGGGGGGGGGGGGGAACGACGACGACATACGTGACCTCATCACTATACCTCAGCACTATTGCGAGAGCAATAGTGCTGGGGCCCGCTTATAAGGCCCTGGAATTGTTCGATTCTAGACGCTCTGTGGTGCGATCTGAGGCAATGTCCACGTTTTGTGAGCAAAATATCATCGTTTAAACATTTCGAGTTTGGAGTATTATTGAATCAGCTTTTCTGAGCTATATAGAATCATTATGTTGGCTACTAATTTTACTGATTCGGGGACGAAAACAATGGGGGGGGGGGGGGGACAAACGATATGATATTCCTTACTTTCAAAAGTGGGGGGGGGGGGGGACTTGTTCCATTATCCCCCACCTCGTTCCCCACACGATTGACGCCCATGACCTCACACCCAGTATACATGCATCCCTGCCCGGCGGCGTGATCTACTTGAGTGAATATGAAAAGGAACTTTGTACAACCCAAAGGAAAGTGTGCATCGAGTGCTGGCCATTGGATAGGCACGCCTACTAGCTGTCAAGACTTGAATTCCAGAATTAGCCAGTACAGTTCAACTTGACTAAAGCTTAACGAATGCTGGCCACGAGAGTTTAAAATAAAGTTAACCCGCACGGGGCAAAGCTTTTTTGTTACAATATTTCATGAATTTTGTTTAACAAAAAAAATCAAAGTTACTTAAAAATAGACTATTGGGCCTAAAAAAGTCTCCGGTTTCTAGCATGCACGCGCGTCACCGAAGCCATGCGCGTCGGTAAAAATGAAAAAGTTTTTTTTTTTTCAATGAAAGATGATGGTTTGACTGGAATCCTGCTGCAGCACAATTTATTTTAACGTGTTTTTACATGGGGTTATGATCGAGAATAAGCTTTATGTGGCCTCTCGGACTCCCATATATTTGCACTTAGTTTAGTCGGGCACCATTTGTAGTCATCAGCGGACATTTGAAGAAGGAAAAAACGGTTAAAAAAAAAGCCGCATCGCCGCACCAGTTTTTGAGCAAGCTCCATACCAGAAACCGGAGACTTTTTTTGCCTATACTCCGAGGCCTTGAGTATTACACTGCGCAATCTCCAAATCGCGGAGAACCAGCAATCGCGCCATAATTTTTAGACTGGTGCCACAGTGATTTCGCTTCTTCTATTTTTTTGCTGCACGGTACGTACAGGTATCCGTCACACACGTACACACACACGAAAACAAAAAGAATACCGACTTAACAAAAAGCTGGCAACAAACATGATGCTGAAATTCGTGTAATTCCTTGATGTTAAGCGCTCCTATAGAACTCGTAACGTCAAACGTACATACAGAATACTGCAGCAGTGTCAACCCGCAAGAGAGTTAATAAAACCACCATGATCGCTGGTAAGTAAACGCGTCTCAGTAAACATTAGCCCCACTAGTAGTGTGGCCGTCGGTATGCTGCGCTGAACCTCTGGCCACACACCGTGGTACCGTGCGCTATAGCCCCATAAATGTGGCCTATTTACTGGACTGCCTCCGTAAACATAGGCCACACATCCACATGTACAAAAATCGTGTCGACTTTGCCAAATTTTGATTTTCACATTTAGGCTTAGTTTTTAGGATTTTTTTGCTTTAGAAGCATACTCACCCTCTTTATAGGCTAGTCAGAAAGTGCTGCCTTTTTCAGATGTCTAATTTTTGTGAAATTTCATGTTGAAATTTTGATACGCAAACGTGTAAAAATGAATCTGGAAATTTCACGAAAAATATACATCTGAAAAAGGCAGCACTTTCTGATTAGCCTATAAAGAGGGTGAGTATGCTTCTAAAGCAAAAAAACCTTACAAACTAAGCCTAAATGTGAAAATCAAAATTTGGCAAAGTCGACACGATTTTTGTACATGTGGATGTGTGGCCTATGTTTACGGAGGCAGTCCAGTAAATAGGCCACATTTATGGGGCTACGCGCGCTACTGAGGACAAAGTTTTCAAAAAAATTACGCTCAGTTTCTTACATTCTCAGTTTCTTACTTTCTTATGGTTGTATTCAATGATGTCTCATCTATCACTTCTGGGATGCTTAGGTGTAATGATGTTCAATTTTCCGAGATATTCTTGAATTTTTCTGGAGCCCATATGCACTCGTAAAACGTCTGGTGATGGCAGCCATTTTGAATGTGTCAAGAGATGACCTCAAGCTGTGACGTCGCGTTTATGCAAATTGCTTGTCGAGCGAGTTGCAAATACGACGGCTGTTTCCTTTGCCATGGTACAGGAAACAGCCGTCGTATTTGCAACTCGCTCGACAAGCAATTTGCATAAACGCGACGTCACAGCTTGAGGTCATCTCTTGACACATTCAAAATGGCTGCCATCACCAGACGTTTTACGAGTGCATATGGGCTCCAGAAAAATTCAAGAATATCTCGGAAAATTGAACATCATTACACCTAAGCATCCCAGAAGTGATAGATGAGACATCATTGAATACAACCATAAGAAAGTAAGAAACTGAGAATGTAAGAAACTGAGCGTAATTTTTTTGAAAACTTCGTCCTCAGTAGCGCGCGGTACCACGGTGTGTGGCCAGAGGTTCAGCGCAGCATACCGACGGCCACACTAGTGGGGCTAAGTAAACATGGTAAACATGTAGCTTGAGTAACTCCAGCTGACATGCTCATATTCATTCATAGCTCTACTGAGTGGAGCGTTGAATTACGGGTACCCCTCCATACATACGTCAGCGAAGGATTGATTTATACATTCTTGACATTCCATGAGACCCCTTATATTGTTCCCAAACAGCGAAAAATTTGAAAAAAAAACAGCAAAATAGTCTGAAAACTTACAGCTCAATGTGTTTGCAGGGAGGCTCAGTTCTTGAATTGGCTTGTCGAATGAGGGCGTCTGACGTGACGTCACCGTCGTTGCTCGATTGAAGAAAAACAAGTCGCGCTTTATCCACGACTGTTTTGTGTAATGATACGTGCTCCGATCTAAATTTTAACTTTTTAGGACATGTCACTTTTTGGATGGCCGATAGTGCTACATGTAGGTCACTGAAGGGAAAAATAAGTGATGGCCAAATATGGGAATTTTTCCCCAAAATTAGTTAACAATGTGAAAAAGGACCTTGTGTAGGCTGGGAAGTGGAAATACTTAACTGTTGAAAACAGTCACTTTATTGCTCTTGACTGCAAGGACAATTTGGCACAGAACGTATGCTTGCATGCTGGTTGGAGGCTGAGAAGAAATAAAGGAAAAGCTTTCAAAAGCAATTCAATTAACTTATTTTCAATTTGGAAGCACCTTTCATGAATATTAAACATGCACTGAAATGATACATTTTGTACCAGTGTTGTAGTACTCGTGCTCGGTACTCGTACTCGAATGTCAAAGTACTCGTACTCGAAATGACGGTACTCGTACTCGGGCAGCAAAGTACTCATACTCCACATGTTGAAATTGTACTCGATCATTAAAGTACTCATACTCGAATAGCAGTACTCGGGGGGGGGGGGGGGGGGGGGGGGGGGAGGTTATAGCTTCACTTACCATGGCCTTATTTTATCGATACTTTCAGTTTGAAATGGTTGATTGACTTGTGGAGAAATTGAGATTTCCTGAGTTTCCGCTAGCAAGTCCGGACAAACACATTTAACAGCTAGCCGTGAGTGGGTCTGTATATCGGTCTGACTGGGCCTGGGCCAATTACGCACAATAAACCAATTGCCGTATGGCCGTATTCGGAAATGCGAGTACTTGTACTCGTACTCGGAAGTACAAGTACTCGCACTCGGAAGTACAAGTACTCGTAATCGGAGACCCGTTCTTGTACTCGGAGGTACAAGTACTCATACTCGGCAACCTAAGTACTCGGCAGTACTCGGTACTCGGAAAAAAGTACTCGACTACAACACTGTTTTGTACATGTATTAATGTAATATATTAATGGAATGTACATGTAACTATGTACAAAAGAACAACCCCTTTCAAATAGAAGACAAATGTGTCAAATACCGGTAGTTGTGTATATATACATGTATCTACATGTAGGTTCAGCACGTTTGGAATAACACTTCCTTTTTTTGTTTTTTAGGTAGCAATGCAGGAAGCATGAGTACATGTATTACATCCTCGGCCGATGGATTAACATGAGCGACACCCGTGAAACTTGTTGGCCACTAAAGCTTTATAACCAGCATATGGAGTTCCACGCAAAATTATGACTACTGAACAAAGCAATCCTGGACATTACCTTTACACACACGTAAAGCATACGGACAGTGCCCTCTAGCAAAATAAGTACTGAAACACTTCTTCACGAATGTGAGGGAAAGTATTTAAACCTTGTGGCCACTTCTTGTGCAGAATGATATCGCCCAAAACTCGCCAGGAGAGAATGTCGGGATTTAGGAATGAGGATAAAGCAAACCACTTTTGTCAGTGATGTTCCATGTACAAGTTTGTGCTGAACATGTAAATGATTGACACCAAGAGTACCGGTACAGCTGTTCGTTTTCAGCATTTTTTGCCATGCTTTCTCGCACAAATGTGGTCTTAATGAACCACTCTAGTCGGACTTGTGATCCCGAAGAGGAAAAGCCTCTGAACAGTGACACTCCTAACAGCTCATTCCCGCAAGGCTGCCTAGACCTCTCTCTTCCAAAACCAATACCTGTGTCACTCACTTCTACAAAAGATCATAGTCCCAATCGTGGTCACACCAGCTCTGAGAATCTCTTTGTGTGTCAAACTGACTTGCATAGGAGTAGTGATACCCAGCTGCACTGCCTTGATCTCTCGGTTCCTAAACAGAGTGTGGTTTCTGCCACTTCCAACACTGACCAAACTTGCCATTCTGCAGCCCAAGAAAAATCATCTGATCTTGATGTCATCACTAGCAACAGTGTCCAGACGAATTGCTTAGATCTATCATTCCCTAAAAAGTTTCCCATCTGTGAGAAACGGTTTGCTTGCGATATCTGCGGAAAGGGTTTTACCCTCAAAAACAATCTTGCAGCACACAGGAGGACTCATACAGGGGAGAAGCCTTTCACTTGCAACCTGTGCGGCAGGGCCTTCGCGCAACAACAGCATCTCAAAAGACATCATCGCAGTCACGCAGATGAGAGGCCGTATATTTGTGACATTTGTGGGGAAAGATCCAGCACCAACAGCAATCTTCAGGCCCACAGGCGAATCCATACTGGAGAAAAGCCTTTCAGTTGTGGTTTTGCGGCAAAGCCATCGCACAAGCTGGGGATCTGAAGCGGCACCTTCGCACTCACACAAAAGAGAAGCCATACCACTGTGATACTTGTGGCAAAACTTTTGGCTACGCCAGCAGCCTTGCCACACACCAACTCCTCCACGAAGAGGAGAAGAAGTTTGTTTGCGGCCTTTGTGGCAGGAAATTCAGCACTCCTAAGTATCTGAGAGTACATCAGCGTATACACTCTGACGAAAAACCCTTCAAATGCAACACTTGCGGGAAACAATTTACCAGCCGGAGTAGTCTCGAGCCACACAAACGCACGCACACTGGAGAGAAGCCATATGTTTGCAGCATCTGTACAAGAGCATTTGCTCAATTTTGCAGTCTAAGCAGACATACTCTGACCCACTCTAGTGAGAAACCATACAAGTGTGACGATTGTGGCAAATCGTTTGCTCAGAAGATACACCTGGCTGCTCACCAACGGACACACACGGTCGACAAATCAGTGAAACCGTACGTTTGTGTCTGTGGTAAACGTTTTCTTCATTTCAGCAGTCTGAGAAATCACCAGAAAACCCATGTTGGAGAAGCTCAGACTGTTAGTGCACAGGGTTCAATTGGAGCTGACTCTACAAAGGCATCTGCTGACTCAGAGACCGCAGATAATTATACTCATAACACCAGTTAATGTACTTTATCATTCAAGTCAAAATTTGTGTTATTAATCTGTGTGCATACAGCAGGATAAGCAGGGTTCCAGGCATCAGAATGGAGGTGATAATAAAGGAAGAGCCTACTGAAGAATTTGATCTTCCGGTACAAGATCAAGAGATTATTCTTTTCAGTTTCACTGATGAACAGACCCACCAAGATTATGATCTACAAGATCAAGAGATACTGCCTTTCAATGAGAGACAGACCCACCAAGATTTTGGTCCACAAGATCAGGAGATGATTCCGTTCAATGAGGAACAGACCCACCACGAGTTTGGTCTACATGATCATCAGGGGATGCTGCCTTTCAATGATGCACAGACGCATCAAAGTTATAGTGTGTACCGCAAAAAAAGTAGTCCAGTGGCATGTGGCGTTTGCGGAAAAGTTCTGGCTCATAAGAGCTCCCTAGATGTTCATCTACGCATCCATACTGGCGAGAAGCCATTCCACTGTGCAACATGTGACAAAGCATTTTCATCTCGTACTGCTAAACACAGACACGAGAAGATCCACACAGGAGTAAAGCCCTTTGCCTGCGGAATCTGTGACAGAACCTTCTTGACAAAAGTACAGGTCGTGTCACACCAGTCGGTGCACACCGTAGAAAGACCCTTCCCCTGCAGTGTCTGCGGGAAGTCTTTCGCTTCAAAACATGCAATGAAGAATCACAGAGATAAAGTTCATACAGATGAGAGAGTGCTGTGTAACATTTGTGGCAAAAGCTTCAGCAAGGCGTACATCTGGACTCATCGTTGGTTCCATTCGGCAGAGAGATCCCACAGCTGTGATGTGTGCGGTAAAGGCTTCAAACTCAAGTGCCATCTTACACGTCATCAGCAATCACACATTCCACTCAGTGATAGGGAGAAGCCGTACAACTGTGAGCTCTGCGGGAAAAGTTACGCCTCCCGTCCCGGCCTGAGAATCCATCTACAGACTCACAACGGGGAAAAAACCATTTGTTTGTGATACGTGTGGTAAAGCCTTCTCGCAGAAGAGTAATCTTAGTAATCACCAACATGTACACACCAACGAGAAGCCGTTTGTCTGTGAGCTATGCGGCCGGGCATTTGCTGTAAAAAGCTGTTTACAGATTCATCTGATGGTTCATTCTGGGCAGAAACCACATTCTTGTAGTATTTGTGGCAAAGGCTTCCGACAGAAAGGGGATGTAACTAAACACATGAAGAAGCATCATCCATGACTGCCTTCTCAAAATGCTTTCAAGTGTTGAAAGTCCCAAAAGTATGCCTTTATTATGTGTCTTGGTTACCCCCCCCCCCACAAAAGACAAAGCAACCCTAGTAAGATGCTCCCAGCCAGAGTATTTACCTTTGCATAAAGATTTGCCAAATTGCTATTTACTAGAAGTCCTACATATACATGTACATGTACATTGTACAGCGCGACCCAAAATACCCGCAACTTTTTTTTGTTTGCGAGGCTCTAGCGTCAGCACGGAAAAACGTACATTGTACCTTCGTTGTTTTTACACCATTTTAAAGCTTATAATCTGAACTTTACCCCTGGCGAGTATTAGTTTGATATCTAAAAGAGTTTTAAAATTATTCTTTTTCAAAGATAGGCATGTTGAAAACAAACTCAACTGGGCAACGAGATCGTCACATCATGCGTCACATCATTGTTGAGTTCCCTGAATGTATTTCATGAAGTGTTAACTGTTCAATGGGATGTCGCCAGACTATTTATGCAGGCATAATGCAGCCTTATTTTACTGTCTTTTGTTTTTTAATCTGGCTTTAAACATTAGGGAATTTTTATAACAAATTTGAGATTATTCATTGAAGCATACTGGAATAAATTAGGAATTAACTTGCTTTTATTTCTCTTCGCAAGTTCCAAAAATTAAGATTTTACCTCACTTTCAATTCAATATGGCCGACTTGTGAATAAGGCCCATGAACATGATGAACATGAATCATTTCTACATTAGAAAAAAATGTGCGCGATTGACTTTCCTTGAAATGGGTTGAGTTTGTTTTTGACATGCCTTTATTTGAAGACCAATCATTTCAAAATCCTTTTGAAAATCACACCAATACTTACATGTACATTTGTACCAGGGGCCATTTTCATAGAGCTACTTAAGCACAAAATGTACGTCCTAAGGGCTCTTTGGGGGTCAAGGACCAAGCACTACAGAATACTACATGTGTTGTACTCACTTGTATGGAAAGAAATGCATACTACAGGTTACTACTCGGTAGTATTTTGTAGCTTTAGGTGAGGGTTAGGCACAAAAGTTTGCTTAATATCAGGTTGTCCACCAAAACTCTGCGATTGTTATGCTAAGTAAACAACAGCTAAATACCAGTCACAAGCAATGAACATGTGTACATCGCATAGCGTTTTGGTAAGGCCAACAAAAAAAAGTCTCCGGTTTCTGGTATGCGCGCGCGTCACCGTAGCCATGCACGTCAGCAAAATGAAAAAGTTTTTTTCAATGAAAGATGATGTCTCAAAACCACCAAACTCACTGGTTTGACTGGAATCCTGCTGCTGCACAATTTTAACGTGTTTTTAGATTGGGTTATGGTCGAGAATAAGCTTTATGTGGCCTCACTGGACTCCCATATATTTGCACTAAGTTTAGTCGAGCACCATTTGCAGTCATCAGCTGACATTTGAAGCAAAAAAATCAGGTTAAAAAAAAAAAAAAGCCGCGTCGCCGCACCACTTTTTAGGTAAGCTCCATACCAGAAACCGGAAACTTTTTTGGGGGGGGCCTAACCTGATTATATTAAGCAATTTTTGTTGTTGTGCTGAAGCAAATTTTGTGCTTAAGCAGCTCGATGCAATTGGCCCCAGGAATCAAGTTAGGACACCAAGCTTTCAATAACGGCGGTACAAGTTTCCGCGGCGACGCTAGAGTCACGCAAACAAAATGTTGCGGGTATTTTGGGACGAGCTGTGCATTGTACATTGTACCCGTATCATGTAGCCAGTCTTCAATAGGCTGGTCTGCAAATAAACCCCATTCATTATGGAGTAATACTACAGCTACATGTACATGTACAGTTATGACAAAACTGCCTGGCTGTGACCATTAGTCAGTCATTCAGTATTGGATACTACAACATGTCAAGAAAACGTATCCTATGTTTGATCCTATATTTGTAACTCTGTTGTGTACCAATGGAATTTAACCAAAATTTCAGATCATGTTAACAAGGCATTACAAATTTTATGGAGCAAATTTCATCAGCTTTGTGCAAGAGGGTGGGATTTAAACACCATATGAATAAACATAATCACAAGTTTCAGAATCGACTTGGCATTCTCCAATGTCGATACGGGGATGTACATGTATCATAAGTCCGTCGCCTCGTAAGTCCGAAATCTGAGACTTATGAGGCGTCGGACTTATGAGGCATAAATTCCACCTCATTGGTCCGACGCCTCATAAGTCAGACACCTCATACGTCCGACATTGGACAAATGCTGTTTCGGACTTATAAGGCGTCGGAGCTATGAGGTGTCAGACTTATGCAGCGTCAGACCTATGAGGCGCAATAAATAAATCTTATGCCCCATAAGGTTATACAGAAGTGTTATAATTGTTTCGCAGACAGTATAAGTTACAACTATTTATCTTTTTGAGTAATTATTGGCATGATATAACAAAACAATTGTTGACTGCTGTGATGTGGGATATATGCCGTTTTTACCCCTTCGGGGCGCATAGCCTCCTCGGCTTCGCATCGGGTGCTTTGCACCCCTCTGGTGTTAAAAACGTCATATCCCAACTGGGGCGGATCCAGGAATTTTTTCGGGGAGGGGAGGGGGGGGGGAAGGGGGGGGGTTGTCATCTGCAAAAAAGTCTGATATGTAGACAGGTTTTTTCTCCAGACACTTGGCCTCCGAAAATCAATAAGGGGGGGGGGGGGGGGGGGGGGAGGGGGGGGGGCTCATACCATACTTTCAAATCCAACGATTAGGCCTATTAACACTATATTACGGTATATTGTATAAATACCCCCTAACCAAACTGGCTCTGTCCGAATTTTTTTCACATTTTGTTTGATATTATAACCAGTGTACTGTTTTGGGTGTCCGGGGGGGGGGGGGGGTCACATTATTTAACAATTATTTAACAATATTAAACAATATTAAAAACCACATCCAAACTATTTGTATTGTCTAATAGTTCATCTGAGGAAAACGAAATGTGTTTAATTTAAGTGTTGAACTGGTCACATGTTACAATGCACATTGTACATACATGTAGCCTGTAACGGTAACGCACAAACATTATGTACGTGTACATGTATGTGTAAATGTGAAGGCGTAGTAAAGTGGTTGTATGATGTAGTGGGGCCGTATCATAAGTCCGACGCCTCAAAGGTCCGATGCCTCATAAGTCCGAAATTTCGGATTTATGAGGCGTCGGACTTATGAGGCATAAGTTTGATTTATTCCGCCTCATAGGTCCGACGCCTCATAAGTCCGACGTCGGAAAAACGAGGCGTTTAATTTGTCGGACCTATGAGGCGTCGGAGCTATGAGGCGTAGGACTTATGAGGCGTCGGACTTATGAGGCGTCGGACCTATGAGGCGTCGGACTTATGAGCGAACCCCGATGTAGTGCATGCACTAGAAACTTTTTGTTAGTGAGGTTTAAATGTAACTGTCTAGATGTACATGTACATGTATTAATCTGTTTAAGTGTTAAGATGTACACGTGTACATCATCCATGTACCTGTATTACATGTATTAATGTTCTTGTATGGCTTTACGATAGAGGACAGACACACAAAGGGAGAACAAAAAGGTCCTTTCAGTCCTCGAGCGTTGGGTCTTTTGTTGAAAACGGTCCTCGATCTACTGTGTGCTTAGTCTATGGGAGAGTGTTACGGGGACAAAGGGAAACACAAAGCATTGTCCTTGTGCGTATAGAAATTCATGACTGATGTGTTCTATTACATGGTGTTCCTACCGGTATTTCTCCAAAAAAGTATTTGACTTTTTGGCTACGAATGTACCATAATTGCACTAAGTGCAAAGCTTAAAAATACACTGCACATGATGTAACCAAAATACTAATTGTGACTACAACTTAATATATTCATGTACCTTTCAAACACGCGTTACATTTGTAAAAACATGCAGTTCATGTACCATGCTTTTCATTCTTTTGGAACACACAATGTATACAGTGTGTCTCGTTAATACAAATTGTTTGTTATATCAGAATTTTGTATTAAGAGGAACATCAGTCCCATTCATTGTGCACATAAGTGCACAGTCGGGACTAAGGCTTTACGTTTGTTATAACCAGAATTTTGTATTAACAGAGTTTGTACTAACGAGATTCGACTGTACATGTAATTCTTACATGTACATGTAGATGCATGTAAACTGAATGTGGCTATTAAATTTAATATAATAATTTATTTATTGTCCTTATTAATGTTTATTATCATGCAGATAATTTAATTGACAGTCCTTTAAATTTGAAATTATTTTTCTTAATGAAACCATGCCGCATATCATGAAGTACATGTAGATGTAGAAATAAAATGTTATAATTGTGAAATGGAATAGTACATGTGTGGCATTCTGTTTGTGTGTAGACAACGTAATTTGGAGATAACAAAAATTGGACAGTAGGCCTGCTTGCCCTAAACTGAGTTGAGCAAAAACTGCAGTGAATTAAAGCAAAATTGTGCCTGGATTGCTCAATTTGAACTTAAAGTTGCATTTCCAGAATATTGTGCATTGTGCATGAGGCGCGCATTTCAGGTTGTTCTCACGCTCTCGCATGCGCACTCGGGATTTCTCACGTTAAATAACATAAATAAATAAAACCCGAAAATGATGTTTAAATGATGATATTTTGTTAAAAGACATTGGGTTAAAGTGGTCATGAGAAATTGCCTCAGATCGCACCACAGATCGCATCTAGAATCCAAATTATTTTCGGGCCTTTCAGCGGGTCTCCGAACCCACGCAATTACAGTCGAATCTCGTTAGTACTCACTGTAATACAAAATTCTGGTTATAACAAACATAAAGCCTTGGTCCCGACTGTGCATTTACATGTACATTGTATGTACACAATGAATGGGACTGATGTTCCTCTTAATACAAAATTCTGATATACATGTAGCTAACAATTTGGCTAGGTCCGAACGAGTTTGTATGAACGAGACTCGACTGTACATGTAGGGCGTCGCGCTTTGTGCTTGCATTAGCATGATTACTTCTGATCATCAAACCCCATCACCAAATTCTCACTCTCAGCTCTTGGTCTTGCCCAAAGTTGGCAGCCCTGGAATAGTGTAGTGTTTTTTGTATTCATAAAATAATGTTAAATTGTGCGAAATAACATCATGTAAAATCTGCATGTTGTGGAAAAAAAATTGTATCTTGAATTTTCTTATTTTAATTAATCCAGCAAACTGAATGTTGGGGTAAAACAACTTTGGTCTTCAAAACTCAAGGTATGGGAGGGCTAGTCTTTATTCAAGTCTCTTTTTTTTAATGGAAAAAATTGCTTATAAAAATATTTATTTTCAAATTCTATCCATTTAAGTCAACCCCAGTGAACGCCCAACCCCCCCCCCCCCCCCCCCCGACAAAAAAATAACACCTTGTTTTAACGTGGGAATAATCAAAATTAAAGGGAAAATACAATATTTGCAAACATCGAAAAATAAAACTACCAAGTTGTTACGAAATACCTTACTAGGATGTTGGTAATTGACAGTCTTAAGCATCCTGTAAAATTATGGCACCTGTTGAGAAGCCATTTTCAAAAAAATGGTATTTTTGTTTACATTTCCAACGGTGGTCGGCCGACCACCGTTGGAAAAACCTAACTATTTTTCAATTACTGCTCCAAATTTACCATTTTTTTAAGTCTAAATTTTGTTTTGCTTGCTATTGATTCCATGTTCATGAATGGGTGCAGGCCAGCTAGACTGGTTCCCTTACCTTACAATTTTCCGGTATTTTTGATCATTTCATCTTTAGTGGAGTCAGGGAGCCAGACTACTTGAATATTTTTGTTAAATTCTTGGTTTTTCCAGCATTTTCGAACACAAAACGTCAAACACTCAGTGTAACAATGTTTGATCTATTATACTAACCCCACAAATAGTTCATTTCTGAAAATTACAGCAAAAGCCAATGATGTACATTCCCTTTAAAAGCAATGGACAAAGAACTACAAACATCACATGCCACAGTTTCTATTTCAATTGTTTATTCGTTCCTTCAAATTTAGTAAAAAACAACATTTAAAACAAAGATAAAAGAAAAGGGATTTTTGCATATCACACTTTTTAAAAATACATGGTCACATACACGTCCATGTGTACCTACATGTACATGTACATGTACAACTTGTACCCAAGGGCGTGGATCAAGTACATTTGGGGGGCGGGGGTGGTTTGACCTCATTTGACACTAGGGGTGATCTTTAATTTTCAAATTTGTGTTTTTATTCAATATTCCACAAAACTGGGAAATGGCATGAAAAGAATTGATGATAAAAACACAAAAACTAGAGGTTGGCGTTTGTTGAGTTACAGAGTGGTCGGGCTGGCATATTTTCATGTGTTTACAGTGACTTAATCATAATTGAACCGCACCCACTACCCTGTGTTTTTCACAAAGAAAATCACACAACCTGCAGTTGAACTTGTTGCTTTACCTCGACAAGACTTGTAGGCCTATCAGGAAGCGCACATCTGGTGCTGCATGGATGGCTACTCAAGCATACAACCAGTTGGGACTATTGGTAGAGTTAACGAGGCCTCTAACGTCGATGGAGTTTATGCAACAGAATTATGCTAATCTTTAAAAAAAATGGCTTTTTTGTTTTGTTTTGTTTTGTTTTTGTCTTTTGCATGGGCATAATAAAATTCTGCACTAAGGCTACGACATTGGTAGAATTGACAGAGCGTCTAACGTCGTTAAAGTTTATGAAACATAATTATGCTAATTTTAAGATAAAATGGCTTTTGTATTGTTTTTTGGTTGTTGGTCTTTTGCATGGGTATAATAAAATTCTGCACTGAATTTATGACAACGGTAGACTAAAAGGAGCCTCTAACGTCGTTGGAGTTTATGCAACATATGCTGATTTTATCATAAAATGGCTTTTATATTATTTTTTTCTTTTGCATGGGCATAATAAAATTCTGCACTGAGTTTACGACAGAAAAGTTTGTGGCTACACGCTGTAGAAATAATAATTTTCAGCATTCAGATATGAGAGGAAAACTGGCGAGGCGCGATTTCAATCGGTTATGGCGAAAAATATCAGAAAATGGATGAGAATATTAGAATTGAATTCATGGTCGGAATCGGTAGACTTGAGGGAGCCTCTATGACGTGTTTGGAGCTTAATATATGCAACATTTGATTATCTCAATATCAAAAATAAAATGGCTTATGTCTTTTGCATGCATGGGCTTCCTAAAATGCTGCACTGAGATAACGAAAAAAATAAAGTTTGTGGCTACACTGTCGAAATATTAAATTCTGCATAAAGGTACGAATTAAAGAATCAGTGTTGATATGCGAGTTACACCGAAAGAACTCAGAAAAAAAGACTAGAATATTAGTATTGAATGCTTTGTGTGATTTTGTACAAATTCCTGGATCCTCCCTGGGTTTATTCTTATAAGAGCTGTGATTTTGCAGTCCCTGGTGAACAAATATGATGACATTATGTGGTAGCAGTACTATTATTGTAAGCAGTCGCTTTCTTATTTGTTCCAACAAATATAGTAAAACGTAGTAAAATGTAGTAAAAATGCTTCCGCTTCCTGGTTATCTTCAGTTTTTATTGCGCTTCCGGTAACACCGGAAGTAAAGGTCAAGCGGTTTCGTGTCCGGGAACATGAAATGTTACTCAAGGCATAGTCTACAACCTCAAGAAAAAAACGAACACGATACTCTATTGAGTTCAAAAGATATAGCTTAAACTATTTTGTCAATATTTGCCCTTCCATCACTTTGCCCTTACATTACGTCATGATGACGTAACCAAATTTATAACATCTTCGCAACATGGTACAAATTCACACTAGGTTTTATGATCATCCCGTAAACCGTTCGGAAGAAATTTTGCTTTGTTTTAATTTCAGGCTTAAGTCTTAATTTTGAATTCACGTAACTTTGACCTTCCGGCAGACCCGGAAGTAAAGGTCAAGCGAGTTCACGTACACGACAAAAAAAGTTTATCAACTAATAGTCTATCTGATTGCAAAGTTGAAACGTAATTGATCACTTTGTTTAAGAGTTATAGGTAAAAGTATTTGGCCACTTTTTCCTCTCAAATCCCTTGTAATTTGACACCCAATGACGTCATCATGACGTCAGAGTAATATGCACCACTTGGGACGAGGGTCGATATATGTTGAAAGTTACAAGTTCATACCGTATACCGTTTAGGAGAAAAGCCGCGGAAACTTATTGTCCGGAAAAAAAGAAAGAAAGAAAGACAGAAAGAAAAAAGATTAATCGTAACAACTCCAATCAGTGGTCGGGTTGTGCCCGACCACTCAAAAAGGAGGTATTTGTTGGGGGGGGGGGGGCAAAACATAGTAAATCGTGACATAATAAACAGGACTTCCGATGCAGCTGGTATAACCCATATACATTAGTACGGCACATAGGTGATGGGATTGTGCCTTTGATGATCAAGCATGGCACTTGGCACACAGAGTATGTCATGAGAAAGATACATGTACATTGTGTTTGGCTATAGGGCCATCGCAGATTTGTCCTTTGAAAAAAAATAAAGGTGGACTAAACATGCAATATGGTCGTTTCACAATAGTGCGCCTCTACGTGTTTGCAACGCGTTGGCCAATTACAATGCGCAAAATCGGTCGACCCAATGCGCGTTTGGAAAAGGTCGACTGATTTCGCGCATTGTGATTGGCCAACGCGTTGCAAACTCTTGGAGGTGCACTATTGTGAATCGCCGTATTGTTATTCTACATATATATTTTTTTGCACAGGACAAATCTGTGATGGCCCTTTAGCCAAATCTCTTTCTTAATGCATACTCTGACTGTGCCAAATGCCATGCTTGTATCATCAAAGGCACAATCCCCCAAATATTTCCCCTATCTGCCCCACTACATGCATGTTACACAAAAAGAAAAATACTTTTGATCTGATACTACATACATACATGACTGGCATTCCTAGTTGAGCAGGAGGACAGCTATTTAATGATACGTTTCTTTGAAATAAACTTGTATGCATTCTTGCCCCTGCTCGGAAGAACAAAACCAGACATTAAATGCAGAAATTATTGTTTAAAAAGCAAGAGGATGCAATTCCCTGGGTTTTTTTTATCATTGTAATACATGTAGGACAGATTCCTCTATAGTATTGGCTTCAGCACATTTCATCGCATTGACTTGGTTTGTTTTGGCATAATAAGCCTTTTCGGAGTTCCAACTGCGCATTCATAACCTGTGACAACGCGCATTGTTTGTCTCAAATGGCCTTTGACAACATCGCGCCACTGACTTTACAAAAAGGCTGTTTGTGCAATGTGGGTACTGTCAAAGGGCATTTGAGACAAACAATGTGCGTTGTCACAGGTTACGAATGCGCGCAGTTGGAACTCCGAAAAGGCTTATAAAATGCTGTATGGGGAAACTGCTCTACTTCATTTCACTAGTGTAAGCTGATGTGCTAACATTCACCATAATATATGTACTATCTGACTTGAAGGCATGAGCATCAAATATATACACGTGTGCAGAGCCACACTTCAAATGTCTGATATATCCTAGCAGGCAAATTTTACGTGACCCCGCGCCAGCAAATCGGAGTTGACTTTAGAAAATGTGACGTCAGTCCGATCAGAAATGTGGACTAAGCTGTTGATTAGTCAATTTGGCTGCCATGTTTTGTAATAGAACGTACGGGTTACACAAGACCCGATACAAGGCACCCACTGAATTTTGAGGTCAAGACGCAGTCTTGCTTTGCATAATCAACCAGTTTGTGCCGGATGACGTGTATACATGCATAGGCTTTGTGGTATTTAGAACGGATGACAGATAAACACGCACATGACGCCGGGAGCGAGGCCGGAATATCTGTCAGTGACCAGCTCGCAGCGAGCAAGGCTGGAAATGTGAGTGTGCTGCCCGAAGGTGATGGCTTCAACCCGCCTGGCTTGAGGTCGAGTGAAAAATAATCCCGCGTCTCATATCGTTCTTGTCAAAATAATCCTTGCGTGAACTGGTTACTCGCCAAATCTGCGCGAATATCATAGACGCGTGTCTGCAAGCGGCTATTCCATACATGTAGACTACCCTTCGTGGTGGACAGCCACATACTCAATGACACATGTACATCTACACTGTAATTTGACTAACAACTACATAAATAACTACATGTAGGTAAAAAAAGTAATTCAATAAAAACAATTTTAGTTTAGTTGATTATGCCGTTTACATCTCATTCTCATTGGAAATTGTTAGTAAATTGACTAAGACATGTACATTGTAAATCTGAGGTAAAGGCATAGGCCTACTTTGTAGTTAGCCATTCCAAAGAAACTGCTGCGATGAAAAATCCTCACTTTTTTATGTTTTTTAAATGTGTAAATGAAAATGCTACCCTAGTAAATCACATGTACATGTAAAGGCTCACTCGAATGCTCCTTGTGAAATGGCAGTATTGTTAATGTAAAGAATAAAAGTATATTTGTCTTTGTCCAATTCCAAATACTTTTGTATTTCGAATATTCGAAAGTCAGAAATCGAGTTAACACATGTCAGCTGCAACTGTCGAAAATTGTACGCAAAAGCGCGCCAGTTAAAGGTTTGTTCGCGGCGATCGATGTAATGGGCTGCAGGCGTGTTTTGCAGTAAGTATTTTATTACTGTCAATGGCTTTTACCTACTGACTTAAAGGATGGGAACAATGAACAGCCAACAACAAAAGCCGTAGTTGTACGCAAAAGCACGCCAGTTAAAGTTTGTTCGCTGCAATCGATGTAATGGGCCGCAGGAGTGTTTTGCAGTAAGTATTTTATTACTGTCAATGGCTTTAACCTTCTGACTTAAAGGATGGGAACAATGAACAGCCATCAACAAAAGCCGTAGTTGTACGCAAAAGCGCGCCAGTTCAAGTTTGTTTGCGGCGATCGATGTAATGGGCCGCAGGAGTGTTTTGCAGTAAGTATTTTATTACTGTCAATGGCTTTTACCTACTGACTTAAAGGATGGGAACAATGAACAGCCAACAACAAAAGCCGTAGTTGTACGCAAAAGCACGCCAGTTAAAGTTTGTTCGCTGCAATCAATGTAATGGGCCGCAGGAGTGTTTTGCAGTAAGTATTTTATTACTGTCAATGGCTTTAACCTTCTGACTTAAAGGATGGGAACAATGAACAGCCATCAACAAAAGCCGTAGTTGTACGCAAAAGCGCGCCAGTTCAAGTTTGTTTGCGGCGATCGATGTAATGGGCCGCAGGAGTGTTTTGCAGTAAGTATTTTATTACTGTCAATGGCTTTTACCTACTGACTTAAAGGATGGGAACAATGAACAGCCAACAACAAAAGCCGTAGTTGTACGCAAAAGCACGCCAGTTAAAGTTTGTTCGCTGCAATCAATGTAATGGGCCGCAGGAGTGTTTTGCAGTAAGTATTTTATTACTGTCAATGGCTTTAACCTTCTGACTTAAAGGATGGGAACAATGAACAGCCATCAACAAAAGCCGTAGTTGTACGCAAAAGCGCGCCAGTTCAAGTTTGTTTGCGGCGATCGATGTAATGGGCCGCAGGAGTGTTTTGCAGTAAGTATTTTATTACTGTCAATGGCTTTTACCTACTGACTTAAAGGATGGGAACAATGAACAGCCATCAACAAAAGCCGTAGTTGTACGCAAAAGCGCGCCAGTTCAAGTTTGTTTGCGGCGATCGATGTAATGGGCCGCAGGAGTGTTTTGCAGTAAGTATTTTATTACTGTCAATGGCTTTTACCTACTGACTTAAAGGATGGGAACAATGAACAGCCATCAACAAAAGCCGTAGTTGTACGCAAAAGCGCGCCAGTTCAAGTTTGTTCGCGGCGATCGATGTAATGGGCCGCAGGAGTGTTTTGCAGTAAGTATTTTATTACTGTCAATGGCTTTTACCTACTGACTTAAAGGATGGGAACAATGAACAGCCATCAACAAAAGCCGTAGTTGTACGCAAAAGCGCGCCAGTTCAAGTTTGTTCGCGGCGATCGATGTAATGGGCCGCAGGAGTGTTTTGCAGTAAGTATTTTATTACTGTCAATGGCTTTTACCTACTGACTTAAAGGATGGGAACAATGAACAGCCATCAACAAAAGCCGTAGTTGTACGCAAAAGCGCGCCAGTTCAAGTTTGTTCGCGGCGATCGATGTAATGGGCCGCAGGAGTGTTTTGCAGTAAGTATTTTATTACTGTCAATGGCTTTTACCTACTGACTTAAAGGATGGGAACAATGAACAGCCATCAACAAAAGCCGTAGTTGTACGCAAAAGCGCGCCAGTTCAAGTTTGTTCGCGGCGATCGATGTAATGGGCCGCAGGAGTGTTTTGCAGTAAGTATTTTATTACTGTCAATGGCTTTTACCTACTGACTTAAAGGATGGGAACAATGATCAGTCATCAACAAAAGCCGTTTACTATCAACAGAAAGTTGCATCTAACAATAAAGTGCAGCAACTTAATGATTAAAATAACATCACAGTCGTGTGTGTACATGCTTAGCTTTTATCTTCCGAATATTCAAACCAGCAAAACGCTATTTGAATATTCGGTTGATGATCAAATATTTGAATATTCCAGAGTCTGGACAGCCCTAAATGGTACATGTACAAGATGTATCACAGCAAAAACAGTCTCATTTTCGTGTCAACCTGGAACAGACTATAATGCCTGGAATTGAGGCTAAGCATCTCTTTGGCAGTGTACAACTTCTTGCCACTAATTCACCACCATGCAAACTTTGTTTTAATATCTAAATGTACATGTACCTACTTCAAAGGTACATGTACATGTAGAGTGGACCATTTGTAATTCATGCAATTTTTGTTTTCGTGTGCAACAACAAAAGTGCTCAAAATCCTAAGAAGGGTGCTGAACCTGATGAAGTTTTAGCTCTGTGAACGCTGCAATCTAGGATCTGGATTTCAATTCAAAAGTTGCCGAGTCATAGATGTATTTTGAATTGCACCCAATTCTGCATCCAGGACACATTCTCATTCATCTGATTGCAGCAATGCATGTCACGTACCAAACAGATGAATAAAAGCAACCGTGCGCTTGTGTGCATCGTGTCAACGTTTGTGCGCACCAGTTCATGGATTTGCTTAATTACAAACCAACTGCTAACAGAATTGCCAAACATGTGTCACGGGACACATCTTTAGAAATCACCTTTTATTGTTTACTTCAAAAAGGCAGGCTGCCAGAAGGAAAAATTTCACAGGGAGTTGAGTGTCATGACTATCTTTAAACCTAGTATGTTGTGTAACAGTATTTTGGTCAGTTTTTTTTGTATAGTTGCAAATGGTCCATTCTACCTTTAACAAGCGACATGTAGGCATCCTGCACCCGATTTCACGAAGCGCTGCGACGCGTCGCAACTCAAGTTACGACGTGTAACACGTCCCAACTCGCGACGCGTCGTATCTTCCATTTCACTAAAGTTGCGATGTGTTGAATGCGTCGTACATGTAAGTTCCTTGACACCGGCTTAAAACACGTCGCAAGTTTCGACGTGTCTAGTGGTCATCGCAAAATAAGAAGAGTCATTTCTAAGCCAGTTTTATGCCACAAACATTACATTAACGAGATTATAATACCGAGGCAATGTGTGTAAAGTTGTAAATAGAAAATTCATTGAATAATTATGAATTAGACCGGAATATTAGAGTTGAAATTTCAAAGTAGCTATACAGACCAATGAGAGCTTGTTTTCCTTCAAAATTGCATCGCACGGCTGCCATTTTGTTTTACGTTTTAACAAATTTCGAGCTGAGATCCGACGACTCTTTGTTGAATATCAGACGACTATTTACTGTACACTGACTAAAGACATAAAACAGTCACCGAGTTGTGCTATAACTACACCTACGACGCGTCGCACTTACGAAGTGTTTAGTGAAATGGATCGCAGGACGCGTCGCAGCTGCGACGCATCGTAAGTTACGAAGAGTTTCGTGAAATCGGGTGCTGGTCCATTAGTTTGTAGTCAAGTCCATCACAAGTAAATCTAAAGTCCTTTCACAAGTCCAGTCACAATTAACAAATGATGAACGATAACAAAGGAATGTATTTGTCACTCTTCATTTGAATAGCTTGCGACTTGACTTGAAACTGGAGAACTTGTGATGGACTCAACAACAATACTGCAGTATGGATCCATGTTTCTTGTAATTATATCCACAATACTGCAGTATGGATCCATGTTTCTTGTAATTATATCCACAATACTGCAGTATGGATCCATGTTTCTTGTAATTATATCCACAATACTGCAGTATGGATCCATGTTTCTTGTAATTACATCTATAATACTGCAGTATGGATCCATGTTTCTTGTGATTACATCCATAATACTGCAGTGTGGATCCATGTTTCTTGTAATTATATCCACAATACTGCAGCATGGATCCATGTTTCTTGTAATTATATCCACAATACTGCAGTATGGATCAATGTTTCTTGTAATTATATCCACAATACTGCAGTATGGATCCATGTTTCTTGTAATTATATCCACAATACTGCAGTATGGATCCATGTTTCTTGTAATTATATCCACAATACTGCAGTATGGATCCATGTTTCTTGTAATTATATCCACAATACTGCAGTATGGATCCATGTTTCTTGTAATTATATCCACAATACTGCAGTATGGATCCATGTTTCTTGTAATTATATCCACAATACTGCAGTATGGATCCATGTTTCTTGTGATTACATCCACAATACTGCAGTATGGATCCATGTTTCTTGTGATTACATCCATAATACTGCAGTATGGATCCGTGTTTCTTGTAATTAAACTAAAAAGAGGGGAAAATGACATCTTTAAAAAGCTGAACAGTTTAATAGCAATTATACATTTCTCAGTTCATTGATTTTCTCAAACGCCTCATCAGCATCACCACTGGTCTTGACACGAAGCAGCAGTGCAGTTGCTTCAGGGGTGCATCCGCTGTCGCAGGCGTTGCTCTCCTGTGGCCTGGGGTATTTCTTGTTGCATGTAGGGCAGGTCCGGTCCACCGGGGGGTTGAGGGGTGTCATGAGGAGGAGGTTGTTCTTGCCTTGTCGACTGACTGGTAGGGAGCCTGGGAGTGTGATGTTGAGGAGGACGTTGCCTGACGGGATGAAGTAATGAGAAAGTACATTAGATTCACTGGCTGATTGAGTATATTATACAAATATTGAATGCTTCGAGTGGTGTAGTAAAACTAGCCTCCCGAGGTGATCCATGGACCATTCTATTTTCCCGAGGCGAAGCCGAGGGAAAATAGAATGGTCCATGGATCACCGAGGGAGGCTAGTTTTACTTCACCACGAGATAAAGCATTCAGTATTTGTTTTATAACACTTCACCCACAGATTCTGCTTGATTTTAATATTTTAAATTATTTAAATCTGAACACAGTTGAAATAAACTTCAATTTCAATAAAAAATTGGTGGAAAATGTATTTCTCTCTTCCAAACTACCCCTTCACGAAATGTTTGAACCCAAGTCTGCGGCGCGCTCTCTTTGGAACAATACGCGCTACGCGCACACAAGCATCCATTTGCACACAAATGCTGCGCCGTGGAAATAGTACTTTGGTTGCTAATGGTATAGTACTTTGGTTGCTACGGGTATAGTACTTTTGGCCGTGCACAGAAAGATAGCAAAATTAGAAAGTAACATGTGACTCGCTCTCGGCCAATCAAGACACAGAATCTGTGGGTGAGGTGTTATAAAACTGCATGTACATGTACGTGTGAGGGGAGTGTGTGGCCTAGTGGTTAGGGTTCGCGACTCATGATCAGAGGTCCGGGGTTCGAATCCAGCCGCTGGTCATATATTGTGTCCTTGGGCAAGGCACTTCACCCCCACTTGCCCCTCTCCACCCAGGAGTATAAATGGGTACTGGCATTAGCTGGGGAGTAACCTGCGATGGACTAGCATCCCATCCAGGGGGAGTAGAAATATTCTCAGTCGTTTCAATGCTACTGAAACCAGAGATAAACGCCGGCCTGATGAGCCACATTGGCTCGGGACAGACTTTACTTACGGTACTTTACTTACATGTACGTGTATTAGCAACATTGATCAAGAACAATAGTGCACCGTACACATCGAGATTTCTTAACACTATGGGGGAGGACCAGAAGCTTTTGAAATGTGAAAAGTAGGGAAGAGGAAAGGGCATCTGACTCGATGGTGTTGTTGGGGGGGAGGGGGGACAAATATGTACACTTGACTCTTATACAAACTCAGTCAGACCTAAACAAAATATTTGTTTATATCAGAATTTTGTATTAAGTGGAGTGCAGTCCCTTTAACTGTGCATATAAATGCAGTCAGGACCAAGGCTTTATGCTTGCTATAACCAGAATTTGTCTTAAGAAGTCAAGAATACTCAACCCCCTTAAAAGGGAATACACAAATATACAAAATAAAACTGCCAAGTTTTTACGAAATACCTTACTAGGATTTTGGTAAATGACAGTCTAAAGCACCCAGTAAAATTATGGCACCTGGTGTGTAGTCATTTTCAAGAAAATGGTATTTTTGTATACATTTCCAACGGTGGTCGGCTGACCACCGTTGGAAAAACCTAACTATTTTTCAACTACTGCACCAACTTGACCCTTTTTTCAGTCCAAATTTTGTCATGTTTGTTTGCTATTGGTTACATGTTCATGAACGGGTGCAGGCCAGCTAGACTGGTTCCTAATTACCTTACAATCTTCAGGCATCTATAAATTGATCCATTTTATCTTTAGTAGAGTCTAGGAACCAGACAACTTGAACATTTTTGGTTTTTCTTGGTTTTTCCAGCATTTTCGGACACAAAACTTCAAACGTGTCAGTGAAACAATATTTGATCTATTATACTAACCCCTCAAATAGTTCATTTCTGAAAATTACAGCAAAAGCCAATGATGTACATTCCCTTTAATATCCCCAGTGTCTGAATCAAGTCAGTCAGAAGTCATCAAAATTCATTCACTTTCAAGACAACAGCAGTAAGACATAATGAAGTCACATTTTACTTTCCTTTGTTTATGTTTTATGCTTTCTTATCCCTAACCCTGTCAGACCCAAACACAGTGTATCAGGTGGAAAAGTCTGGTGCACTTTGATGCATGCAGCGATCAACACAAGTGCATAAACAACCACTTCTGAGACAATGAGAGCTAGTCCCATTGAACAATGCCACAGTAGTATCCTGCTGCCTTCGGGAACCACAGACTCTTAGGCAGTTTGGCCTTGAGACTTTCGACTTGATGGATCTTGCTGCACTGAAAGGCTTGTCACTTAGACAAGCGCTGCATGTTGCTGCATTTAGCAGGACTTTCTAGCCAAAACACCCTGGAGTGTTAGGGTTATTAAGGTTAAAAGCGAATGAACATCATTGGCTTTTGCTGTAATTTTCAGAAATGAGGGGTTAGTATAATAGATCAAATATTGTTTAACTGACATGTTTGAAGTTCTGTGTTCGAAAATCAAGAAAAACAAAAATGTTTAAGTAGCCTGGTGCCCTGACTCCACTGAAGATAAAATGGATCAATTTATAGATGTCGGAAAATTGTAAGGTAAGGGAACCAGTCTAGCTAGCCTGCACATGTTCATGAACATGTAACCAATAGCAAACAAAATTTGGACTGAAAAAAAAATTGCAAATTTGGAGCAGTAGTTGAAAAATAGTTTGGTTTTTCCAATGGTTTTTCCAACGGTTGTTCGGCCGACCACCGTTGGAAATGTATACAAAAATACCAGGTGCCCTAATTTTACAGGATGTTTTAGACTGTCATTTACCAACATCCTAGTAAGGTATTTCGTAAAAACTTGATAGTTTTATTTTTCGATGTTTGCAAATGTTGTATATTCCCTTTAACCCTTACCCTACTAGACCCTCCAACGCATGCCAATATGTGTCTTAAGAAAATCTCCTATGTTTTTTGCATGGCCCTCCAATATCTGCCATGTCATTTCAAGGGTAACTGGACAGGCACTCCAATACATGCCACAGAGAACAATGAGAGTCCTCTGATAACAAAGTGAGTGCCCCCAGCTGGTCAGTATCAGGCACCCTCCAGGGCCTCCAACTCCTGCCAATTGGAGCCTTCACTGTTAAGACTTGTTATCTGCCAAATAACTGCAGCTGGAGGGCATTGGCATAACCAACTGACATGCAGTAAACTACCCTCAGAGAGTAAGGGTTAAGGGAGCTGGTGGGGATGGGAGAGCCATCAGTTCCCATAAGAACATGAAGAAGGCACACATGTAAACAATGCCAGGCGTCCTTATGCCTCCGGTCTGTTCATCCCGTTACTTGTGACTTGACACGAGATTTGATTTGTTTTTATTGACTCATGTACAACTTTGATTATCCTCTTACCTAGATTAGTATCAGCTCGGACGAGAAGCTGCAATGTGTCGCCGGTTTTCTTCAGGTGTAGCATACCCACTCCACGGTCCTGGTAGGCATCACCTTTCTTGTAAAAAATCTTACACCTGCAATTTTAACCAAAAAAACACCCCAAAACATTGGGACTAAGCATTTGTGTTGCCATCAAGCTACAGTCGTTTGTCGACCCAGGTCAATTTTTTTTATTACAGATTTGAAAAGAGCACAATCTCAGCATTACTGCTGTGAAAACCGCATGCTGGTTCCGTCTTTAGTTCAAAAATTATGGAAGTCTGAACACCAAGAGATGTGATGAAGTGGCCCTATTTTGGCCTGTATCTCTAAATAAAAATTCCTGACAAATGACTCATTTTATCTTATATCATGAAATTTGCGTCAGGGAAATGTAAACTTGATATTGGGTTTTGCCTTTCGCTGATGTATTTTATAAACACTGTATATTCAGTGTTGTGAGGGCCTACATGTATGAGAAAAAATGCACAAGGTCACACGAGTGGAACCCAAACCCACGACCCCTTCTCACTAGCCTTGATGTCCCATCATCTGACCATCCAGCCTGCCGGGGCGGGCTGGCCGGCTGGTCCGAGGAGTAGGCCTAAGCAATTTGTTTTGTTGAAATGTGCCAAAACACTTGTAGCTTTCAACAAACCCTACTTTTTAAAATGCATTGGTTTGTGCTACATGTATATATAATACATGTACATGTACATCTCCACACATACATGTACACACAAAGTAACTGCATGCTTCTTACATGTATGTACATGTATATGTGTACAACCTAATGTAGCATTGGAAATTCATTGTCAACCTTGGTGGGGGGTGGGGGGGTTTCCACAAATGTTTGTTGGCAGAGAAGAGAGAAGGTTTGGGGGAGGGGGTAACTTTGGTACAAATTTATGTACATAAACTGGTATCAATTATATGGCCACAAAAAATCTTGCAGGAAAACACAGCAAATGTCTGCTAACCCCCCCCCCCCCATTCGTGACACAAACCTTGGGCAGAGGGGGGGGGGGGGGGGGGGGGGAGAGGGGTACGGATGGACATGTTTCCCGTTTCCGTCCCGTCCCCAAGATGGCGGTCAAAGTGAAAACCTCAAAGTTTCAACAGAAATGTTTTGAGAAGCAAGCCAATGAATTTACCTCTTGGAGTACAGAGAGTCCTTCTCCTGAACAACTTTGACCTCTTCCTTTGGTGGTTCGTAGTCGTCTTCATTCCCAGTCTTTGAGACTGCAGAAGCTGAAACCAATAACAGTTTGAGGTACATGTACTTCATAAACATCAAAATACAGGCGCACTTGTACATTGACATTGGTTTGTTGATTTTACGTGAAAAGTAAAAAATATATAAAGGCAGATACAAAATGTATATCTATATATCGTGGTGTCCGTGCAACAAGGTCATATCTCCTTAAATGGCGTGTAAATTCATGTAAGTAGAACGAGAGTTTTCAATATCAAAAGGTCGTATCTCATTTAAAATAACCTGGATGTACAATGAACACACAAAGTCAATGGACCGCGCGATACGCGAGATACGAGCTTGTTGCACGGAGCGTATTTGCGCGAGATATTACTTTGTTGCAGAATCGAGTTACGACCTTGTTGCACTGACGCGACGATATTACAACAACAACAAATTTCAATTGAGGTTTTTGTCCTTGACAGATACTTGTATCACTTCATACAATGTACATGAACATGTACATGTACATGTAAGCATTGTAAACTAATTGTCGGAGAACTGGCAATATTCCAAAGCTTGGTTGGGCGGAACTCAAACTTGAATTTCAACTGCATTGGGGGGGGGGGGGGGGGTTGTCAGCTAAAGTAGTTTGTCTCAATTCTGATATCTACATGTACATAGCAATTGTAGCAGGCACCAAAATTAATTGTGTAAGATTAACTCTGTTAGGCCAACAACAAAAAATAGTCGGTCTCTGGTCAGCGCGCGCGTCAATTTTAACCATGCGCGTCAATCTTTTTTGTTTTTCAAAATGTTCCGCGGTAGCTCCAACAGCGCCCTCTATTGCCACACCTCCTATTTTTTTTTTACCAAACATGCCAAAGAGCACCAAGGAATGGGAAATTGCACCAAGGCAAATGATTGAGGGCACTAAGGCATATTATGGAGGACACCAATGTACATGAGGACACCAAAAAAAGCAAAATAGTACCCCACCTTGTCTGTACAATCCAAGCTTGAAAAAAAGCTTGAAAAAAAAAAAGCCGCGTCGCCGCATTAATTCCGGAACTTCGGTCTGACCAGAGACCAAGTATTTATTGTTTTGGCCTCAGGGAGATGTTCAATATCTTCCCAAATCCTGCAAAATCCTCTTTGTATTAAAATGAACTATTGTGCAGGATTGAGGCTACATGTATATGGCAAAAGTTGTGGCTGATTTTGCAGCATGCAATGTGTCATGGACGGACCTTGTGTAATGTGTTATTTATGTTCATCCGTGCATACATACATTTCATTTAGGCATAGATTAAACTTGATATTCTCCGCACTGCTCCAGGATGTCACTGGCTCTGCCTCAACATACATGTATCGACAGTGATTGCTGGAGGATTGTGCAGGATCGAGGGCATTGGTCACTCCTCCAAGGACCACATTCAAGAAATAACGGAGGATTTTGCAGGATCGAAGCTGCATGCAATTTTTTTTACATGGAGGCAGTTGGAGGATTTTGCAGGATTGAGATTTACATCCTAGCGAAAATGCCTAGGGAGTTAGGGTTCATACTAGAGTTTGCCCATTTTGGCTGGTAAAATCACGTCGGCAAAGGGCAAAAACCCATTTTAGAATTCTAGCCATAAAATCAGTTGACCCTCATCAATAAAAACTGTTAGAAAAATGCCCTACAATACATACTGTGAATTTATGTGCACATACCGGTATGTATGGGATGGGCACTCTTCTTAACCCTAACCGCCCTGAATCCTCCAAAATCCTTTTTGCAAATTGGAGGAATTTGCAGGATTGAGGTTACATGGCAAAAGTGCGTTGCTGATTTCGGAGTACGCACTGTGTCAAGGTCTTGGGCCAGACCTTGTGTTGTTTATGCTCAGCCGTGCATAAATTTAGTCCTTGATTATACTTGACATCCTCCGCACTGCTCCAGGATGTCACTGCCTCTGCCTCAGCCTATTGACAGTCATAGCCGGAGGATTTTGCAGGATTCAGGCAGTGGTCACCCCTCCATGGAACAAATTCAAGAAATAGCGGAGGAATTTGCAGGATTGAGGCTATACATGTATGCTATTTTTCCATGAGGCCAATTGGAGGATTTTGCAGGATTGAGGCTACATCCTAGCAAAAAGGCCTAGGGAGTTAGGGTTAATACAAAATATGTACATGTAGACGAACAAGGATACACAAATCTCTACCTGGTGTTGCGGTATCTGATGGTTTAACTCCACCAAGTGAGAAGGGCTTGCCTGATCCAAACATTGACCCTGCTGCGGACGCTTCAAACGTCCCGGCTGAGAAGCCTGTGCCCATCGGTGCAGTGTCACTTCTGCCAAACGAAAACCCTGAGCTGACAGAGGCTGGGGTCGCTGAGGTGACCTTGAAGGAGAAATCTGATTTGGGAAGTCCCGTCATCTTTGTGTCTGACGTCCCGAATGAAAAGGTGGCAGGAGTGGATGTAGCCATCTCAGTGTCGGACGGTTTGCTGTCCTGTTTTGTGTCCGAGGATTTCCCAAACGAGAAGGTTGATATCGCCGTTGGAGCTTTTGATCCGGATTCCGTGGACCTCTCTGCTTGTTGGGTGCTGACATCCTTCGTGTTGTCTGCCCGAAGCTTCTCAATCTCTCGCAGATGCTTCTTGTAGTCTTCAAAGATAGGAGTCAGATCGCAGACTGGGTTCTCGTTAACATGCTTCTGGATCCAGGCACTGACGGAGCGGTTCAAGTTTTGCAACTTCTGCGAGTACTGTGGGCTCGGTGAAGTTGAGGGCGGTGTTTGAGTCCTGCTGGTCGACAGACTACTCCCGGTTCCATTCGTACTGATTGTAGATGGTTTTGCGCTACCGAAGGCGGGGAGTTTTGAAGCTGCTGTAGAAACAGTGAGTGTATCAGCTGTGGCTAATGTGGGAGGTTTATCAGGAATGGAGGGTTTGAAGCTGAACGGGGTGACCGTGGGTGCGTCAGTCTTTGTAGATTTAAAGCTGAAACTTGTAGGTGCTTTGTTGGCGGCAAAGGCAAAACCTGCGAACGGGCTGGGCTTGGTATTATCGTCCTGATGAAATAAGGAAATAGGTAAACATGAATGTAGGAAACGCTTTGACAACTATAATCCCCACACAAAAGAGTTGTTGTCATGCTTCATGTGGAGTGCTGTGGCCTCGTGGTTAAGGGCACTGATTCATGGTCTGCGGGTAAAGCTGCAGGTTGTGGGTTCGAGTCCTGGCGGGGTCATGGTGCGTGCGCCCTTGGGCAAGGCACTTTGCCACTCATTGCTTCTCTCCACCCAGGGGTAAAGGGGTACCTGTGAGGGCAGAGATGGTTATGTGATTGATTTAGCTTGCTTGCGCCTAACAGGCAGCATCGAGCTGTATACTTCCCAGGGAGCTGAGATGGTAGTTGGAATGTTTAATTGGCCCAATGATGAGGAGTAATAAAAATACTGTAAGCGCTGTGATTTAGTTTACTAAAATGGGCTTTCTTAAATGCCCATTATTATTATTATGTAAACCAAAATAAAACGCATACTGTAATGGCATTCTGGCTAGAACCCTGCCAAACGCAGCAACATGCAACACTTTAAGTGACAAGCCTGCCCAGTGTAGCAAGATCCATCAGGTCAAAAGTCTCAAGGCCAAACTGCCTCAGAGTCTGTGGTCCCCGAATGCAGCAGGGTACAACTGTGGCATTGTTCAATGGGACTACTGTAGCTCTCATTGTTTCAGAACTGGTCATTTATGCACTGGTGTTGATAGCTGAATGCATCAAAGCGCACCAGACTTTTCCACCTGATGCACTGCGTTGTGTCTGGCAGAGTTGGGGGTAAGGCCAAAAAAAAAAAATACTCGGTCTCTGGTCAGACCAAAGTTCCAGAATTGATGCGGCGACGCGGCTTTTTTTTTTTTTTTTTCAAGCTTCGATTATACAGACAAGGTGGGGTACTATTTTGCTTTTTTTTGGTGTCCTCATGTACATTGGTGTCCTCCATAATTTGCCTTGGTGCCCTCGATCATTTGCCTTGGTGCAATTTCCCATTCCTTGGTGCTCTTTGGTAAAAAAAAATTGAGGTGGTGCGGCAATAGAGGTCGCTGTTGGAGCTACCGCGGAACATTTTGGAAAAAAAAAGATTGACGCGCATGATTAAAATCGACGCGCGCGCTGACCAGAGACCGACTTATTTTTTTTTTTTGTCCTAACATAAGTAGTATCTTAAGTTTATTTTCATACTTTCGTATTTAAAACTCAGGATCCATTATTATACTGTACATGTATTTTTTAGGTAAATTTTTCCGAATTACATGTAAGATATCATGCAAGATAGCAACTCACAATTACAAGTATGGTTATCTGAGCAGTAAATCTACTGGTACCTGTGCTTTGTTATTATTTTGAGAAATCAGGTCACACTTTTTTTTACACCATTTATATTGGAAGCTGGGAGTCCATTCACACGTAACATGGGATGATCAATAACAAAACAATGTCTGTAGACTGTACCACAATTCATATCAACTAGGCTTGTGACGGTATTGCATTTACGATACCACGGTATCCAGTGACAAAAAAACAGCGGTATTCACTAAAACCGCAGTATTATGTTAAGGGGGGTATTACGTCATTATCAGGGGAAAAACAACTAACCACAAAGCACCACGTGCCGAGTTGATAAGCCGCCGGCGCGGCATAAATCACACAAATGCTCCACGCCGCAAATCACGGTTTCATTATCAGTCCACCATTGTTTGTAAAAATATATCATTGTAACAGATTATTAAAAATGAAAAGCTTACTTTTAGTGGTATTGTATTGTTCGAATTTGTAAGTCAATGACATAAGGCCCGCTAAAAATAATGCAGATCGTCGACGTACCGATGCCTGAAAAGGCCGACCATGCGACGATCCCCCTATCCTAGCGAACGTACATGTATGTATGCTTTTAAGTTGGTATCCATTGTGAGTGATTCAATAGCCTCATGCGTTTTTTTTGCCGGCCACCAGCGACTCCTTACGTGCTTCGCCGGTGTCATACATGTGAAAATCGGACTCCTATAAAAAAATAATCGCACTCCTTCTCACGTGATCGGTCATTCTAATAATCATCATGTTAGGCATGCGCAATTGTGGAGGCTGTAATATGAAGTTGTCAGTGCCAGGACCTTCACAACGAACGGAATAGCTTGTGACTCGATTGGATTTGAGACTGGTGATTTGTGAGGGACTTGTACTTGGGACGGACATGACCACAACGTTGGAATTAGGTACATGAGTGTACAGTTATAGCATGCTCAGATTAGTTCATACAGCTCATCCCAAAATACGCTCAACGTTTATTTGCAAGGCTCTAGCATCGCTGCAAAAATACGAACCGCCATTACTTTTGTATCATTTTACAAATGTAAAGCTTGGAATCTTAACTTTGTCCCCGTAAGTACAATGTATTGGTTTGATTTTCAAAAGGGTTTTGAAATTATTTGTGTTCAAATAAAGGCATGTCAAAAACAAACTCAACCGATTTCAAGGAATATCAATCATGCGGGTTTTTTTCTCATAATGTGAAAATGCTTCATCACGTTCATGATGTGACGATCTCGTTGCCTTTTACTTTCTGTGTTTCCTTTCCTTTTCAATACACATACATGTAGACTACACCTTAAATATATTCACAATGTTGTTCTTCGTTTCAAGTTCAATGTGTTTTAAATATAAATTAATCTTTTTTTTGGGGGGGGGGGTTGTTTCAACAGCTTGTGTACTCAATTTTGCATCTGATGTACCGCATCATCGTTTTCCTTGAAATCCGTCAAGTTTGTTCTCGACATGCCTTTAGTTGAACACAAATAATTTTAAAACTCTTTTAAAATATCAATGCAGTACTCAACAAGGATAAAGTTAAGATACCAAGCTTTAAACTGGTATCAAAATAATGGCGGTACGTGTTTCCGCGCTGACGCTACAGCCTCTTCAAAAAAAGTTGCGCTGTTGTAATATACACTGTACATACCTGGGGAGAATCATCGCCTTCTCCTGCTTTTACTCTGCGCTTGGCTACTCGGATGACACGTCGGGATAAGACCTCATTTCCTGCAGCCTGAAATTGCCCAGGCTGCAAAAAAAGTCAATAGTTTTTCCGCTGTCAACATTTTTTTCTCAACATATTTACATAATGTACACTTGACATCAGGCACATCATACAATGTTGAACAATGCTCCGTATATCTATGATTGTGTACTAACCATAACCATACTCAATATAAAGCCATTTGCGAGTTAAATTTGAATAAAATCTGGAACGCTGACCTAATCCAATGCTTGGCACGTTTTAAGTTTGCATTCTCCCGACCAAAGAGACTGTTACCATGGTTACTATATCACGTGATTCGGGGCAAGCCTTATGCTAGCAACCCCCAGCTCCGGCATGGTCTGGTGTCTTTGTGCCATTCTCACCCATTGTGAACAATGTATTGGTGCTGAGCGTCTCTTACGCAACTACCGTATGCAAGAATCATGTGATTAGCAACAGTGTCTTTGGTCTGGAGATTTCAAAGCTAAAATGTGCCAAGCATTCTGAGCAAGTCAGTGTACCAGATGCTTTTCAAATGTAAATCCCAAAGGGTATAGGTCACTCGCAAATGACTTATTCAACAAAATTTGGCATACATGTACAATGTACATGTAATTTAAATGAACCATTGAGGGTAATGGTTAGACTACTTCACAACAATAATCTATATTTTTCCGTTCATTAACTTGAGGTACATGTACATGTATGTCAACACTTTTATGGGGTGGCACCCTGAAAAAAAAACCTGTGTTTTTTCAATCGGGTACCCGGTTCCTGAACTTCCTAAAATGCACACCCTAGGAGGAATAAACTTCATCTTGTATAGCGCACTCGTCCAACACAGCAGCTTTATCATGTTTATCACAGAGAAAACGGCTACATTAGGCCCCCCCCCCCCCAAAAAAAAAGTCTCCGGTTTCTGGTATGGAGCTTGCCCAAAAAGTGGTGCGGCGACGCAGCTTTTTTTTTTTTACCTGATTTTTTGCTTCAAATGTCGGCTGATGACTGCAAATGGTGCCCGACTAAACTTAGTGCAAATACATGTATATGGCAGAGATGCCACTTTTCCGGTTTTAACCGGAATTCCGGTTTTTAAAAAAAAATCTCTCAAAATTCCGGTTTTTCCGGCCGTCAAATTAACCAGAAAAAGAGAAGAAAAACTGTGGAAATGCGTTGATTTTTTACCTCACTTAGTACATTTAGGCGCACGCATGGCACAACGTTGTTCGTTGAAGCACATGTAGTCTTAAAAACAGTCTTTGTGAATGTTGTTGTCGAGCCTGCATGCGATACAACCGGCCAACGTACTTAATTGCACGCAGTATACAACGGCGCCTCGCGCGTGCTTCACCGCGTGCGGGCGTGTTGTGTGCTAAGCACACGTAGCATTCAGCCTGAAAACAAAGTCTATCATTTCAGCTATCGGTGGTTTCCGTTCGCAGTGATATGTGAATACAAAAAATGCGGGTACCAACCATGTTTTCGTCGAGCGCATCGCGTAGTGCAAGGATCGTGTACACCGACAGCAGTGTTGTGGAATCGTGCATGTTTCGTGTCGAAAATTACGTTGGAAATTCGGGTAGGCAGAATAAATATTAGGAATATGGAAAAAGTCAAAGTGATTGAACAAACCGACAGCTTTAAAGGCCATAGAAGCAAAATTAAAAAATAAACAGAACTTGGCTTGGCTACAAGATAAAAGATGACAACGGGGACTTTGTGTCGGACACGGAGTGGCTTTTTCACACACAAAAAAATCCGGTTTTTTCAAGCAGCCGTTCCGTTTTTTTTCAAGCAGACCCAGTTCCGTTTTTTTCAAGCAGACCCTGTGGCATCTCTGATATGGGAGTCCAGAGAGGCCACATAAAGCTTATTCTCGACCATAACCCAATCTAAAAACACGTTAAAATTGTGCAGCAGCAGGATTCCAGTCAATTCAGTGAGTTTGGCAGTTTTGAGACATCATCTTTCATTGAAAAAAAAACTTTTTCATTTTGCCGAAGCGCATGGCTACGGCGACGCGCGCGCATACCAGAAACTAAGTTAAAAACATATTTATCTGCAATGTACATCCTCTGGTTCCTCTTCATTCTCCCAGTTCCTGTCAGTCAGCTCAGTCCCTGCTCTCCGCTTTGCCATGATGCTGTCCTAACTCCAACCCTTCAGATTCTGTGTTGTAGCTAACGGAATAGTCAACTTGCTTATAGCCACAGATAAGCTACCGTATACCTGCAAATATTAAACAAACATCAATATATGTTGACACTTTAGATTTATCAAATTTCATATCGTATGAAACAAACAGTAGCAGTCATATTTCTGAATGTAATCGTAAAATATACTGTTAATTTGTGATGCCCCTATCCATTTAAAGTTGTAGTCAAATCGTAGACGTACATGTACAGTGCCATATGTAAAAAACATTATCTCCCCTATTTATAAAATGTTCGAACCGACCTTCAGTACAAATGTACATGTACGAAGTGAGGGGTATGCCTGGAAATTATCGTTGTCACTTTGTATTCAGGAGATGGGAATCAGACTTCAAATTCAGACCATATTTCCGTTTAAAAAAAACCTGCAGAGCCACGAATCAGCAAAAAGAAGATAAAATATTCCACAATTAAATGTGGAGAATTTTAAAAAGAAATTAAAGAAAATCTGTGACGCGACCGCGTCTTGAACTCGTGACATCACGCTTATGGGTCCAACGCGTTCACCATCATAACCATCAAGCCACCGAATTATATTGCGTTCTTGTATACAGTACATGTAGGTGTACATGCGCTGATGGATGCCGGCTAAAGAAAGAAAACAAATTGCGGAAGTGGTTCACAGTTCTTTAAACACTTTGAGAAGTGAAGCATCTACATGTACACTATGATGCGACACATGGCGGTGTATACTGCCGATACACCACCATGTTTACGGGTCGAGTTGCAATGTGTGCAAGCTAACCAATTAGACTTGGTTACATCATGTACATGCATGTAATAATAATAATAATAAATTAAAATACATATTGCGCGGTCTACATTAAGATGATCAAACACGCATTACATAAACTGTAGTTACATCCCCCTACATGTATGCACAAACTGTACAAAAATGTATGTTTAATGTACGTACATGTCATCATGTATGTACCAAGTAGGCATGGTAGGCCTATTTTACCCACCCAATATTTTGTAAAGACTGCTCTTTTCTCAAATGCCCTTTTTTTGCACCAGCGCTTACCGCCCCCCCCCCCCCCCCCCCCCCCCAATATTGTGTAAAGAGTGCCCTTTTTTCTGAACAAGTGGCGCCCTTTTTAAAATTAAGAAGTCGTCATGGTCGTGCCCTTTTTTGTGCCATCAGCAGTTCCGGGTGCATTTTATTGAATTTTACGCATGTATCGCCCTAATGATAAAGCACCATATATCATGTATATTGTCAATGGCATTGGTGTGCATAATTGTCGGTTTTGAACAGCGCCCCATCGAAGAAATGTTTACCCCCCCCCCCCCCCCCCCCCCCCCATAATGACCGGGCTACTCCACTGTCATGACTGTCAAGGGGGCCAACCAAATCCCATAGCGTTACGAAGACCAACTAATAAGCTAGTCATTTGTGACAGGATACTGCATTCTAACATTCAAAAATCAATTAACTTACAAGTTACAACGAGGCGAAAAATTGTCCCACAGTTACAGTACCGATCCGATCTGAACCGACGAAAGGTAAAGTTACACTTGGCTGGGTTTCCGGCTTGTTCAATCATACGATAGTTCATACGAAGCGCAATGAACACCAGGTACCAGACTGTTTAGTAGTGATTTTCAAATTTATAGGGGGCGCACTTCCAGGTGGACGGTCAGCGATTTTTGTTTCGCAAAGCGCGCATGAAAAAAATTACGGAAGCCCCAATGAGCCAAGTTAAAAAGAAAAAACTGCAGAAAGACGCATAATGTTTTGTTAAAATAACGTTGTCAGGTCGAAGTTATATTTATGAAACGATGAGTTTCTGCAATGCCGTTCTTAATTAAAATTGATCATTCATAACTCATTCACGATCATGTTGTGTTGCCAATAATGCCAGCTACAGTTTTTTTGACGATGACTCATCCTAATGCTGTGACGTCGTAGACGGCGATCCGGAAAGGGGGGGGGCTACGTGCGCAAAATTAAACTGTGAAGTGTGACGATCAGGCATTGCTACTTCTGAAAAAAATATTACCCACTTTTTTCTCGCTCTTGCCGCACCATTTTTATACCGAATTTTGTACCTTTTAAACAAAAGTAACGATATCAGGCAAATAAATAAAACTACCGCCATATAATGTCGATTGTTTTCTGACGTTTTGCTCTTCAGCATCAGTTAGAGATTTGCTTTCACGAGTTTTGACAGGAATATTTATCAAAATGTCCCTATTATTCATTTCTATTATCAGCCTGTCAAATGGTAGATGTTCTGTACAGGTTGGTCCAAAAAAGTCAACACTTTTTCATCAGACGCAGGTTTCTCAAAATTGGGGAGACATGTTGAAATTTTTGTAAGATATTATATTCCCTAAACTTCAGGATCTTGGCGGTATATGGTGAAAACGGCGTTGAAAATAAAGCCTAAATTAAGAAATGGCTGCCATTTACAGAACAAAATGGTCAAAAACCACTTTGTCCACACGTAAGTCTATGAGACAAAATAATATCACTTCGTGCACCGTGAATTGCAATAACATTGGCCATATCTGAGACACGTGTGTGGACAAACTGGGTATTTGTTTGTATACAGTTTTATTGGAATATAACTTTTTTTCTGTCGAAAGTGGCCGTAAGAAGAAAAAAAACGTGTACAAAGTCTATGGGATTTGGGATTCAAAAAAAAAAAAAAAAACAAATCTGAACAAAAACAAAGGCTTTTTTATGTTGTCTGGAAAAGCCAACAAAAACCAAGGTTCTTTCCGCAATTGCCGGCACAGCAAGACGAAAACAAATCTTAACGAAAACAAGAGCTGTTTGGGCTGACTTGCCGAAACAGCTAATCATCAAAAAAGACCGGTGCATAAACATCTCTGTAAAGCGCCCTCTATAGTAGGGTATCCAGCCCCCACCCCAACTCTTCGAACTTCCACCCCCCCCCCCCTCCCCCCCTCCTGCTGGTCCCCTGTCCACCCCCTCCCCCTATGTTGACAACAAATCGCCCCCCTCTGTGTGCAATCAAACCAGAAGTGTAATCAATACGTCTACGTTTACGTTCGCACATTTTTGCATGTAACCTAGCTGTCTTAGGGGCCATTCAGAATTTTCAATGTTTTAAAATTTCGACTATTTTTTCCAAATTGTGGGTGGGTGGGTCAAGCTAAATAATTGAAAATCGAAATTCACTTCACATGATACAAAAGAGCCAAAAAAAAAAAAGAAATGATCTTTTGACTTGCCTGAACAACTACGCGCAAGCGTTCCGATATTGCGATGCGTGTTTCTTTTGCAACTTCGTCCCCTGTATGTTCTGTACATTTATATCCGAAAGGACAAGCAACCCGCACAGGCTCGCCAGTGGAATGTAATGATGTACATGCAAGTGCATGTACATGTTCATGTTTTTTTTGTTTTTTTATGCGTAACAAATCAGTTTTTTATTAATCGAAATTAGGGGTGGGTGGGTGGGTCAAAATAATTTGGAAAAAAAGGCGCAATTTTAAAACATTGACAATTCTGAATGACTCCTAAGCTCAATCAAGATTAATTTTGGACTTAGACATCACCAAACCGGCTGTATAACGTGTAAATACGCGATCGATTCGAATAAAAAAGTTAAACCGAAAAAAAAATATTTTGAATTTTATACTTTCTCCAAAATTATGTTTGCACTAATTTGTATTAACAAATGAGCTGGCAATGTCACATTAAATAATATCGCACCCCATCCAATACCCTGCGCTCCTCACAAAACAAACGGCTAGCATCCAGTTATTTATGTATTTGCTACACACATGAGGCGCAAACGCTCTCTCTTTGATGGGCGATTTCAAGCAGCTCTACTCAGCCTCTCTTAAATTTCAGTGTCCAAATGGCGGCACATTTCACGTGTATCCATCGTCCACCAATACCCACATGTCCTTGAATTCTTCTATCAACAAATCGTTCCATTTCTGGACATGACAGAACCCAATCCCCGTCCCGAAATCCTTGGCACGGGCTGTGCTCTATATAATTAAAAATCCTTGCGTAGTTGAACCCTGTTGGAGATTTCACGAACAGAATTTCGCCCCACATCTCGCCAAAGACGTCCTTTTACTAAACGCAAAAGTCAACCGGAAGAATTGCTACTTTAATTTTACGCTGTACAATTTGAAAAACAAAATATAGTTTGTCTTAAGGCTCCTGTCGGAAATATACTTTTGCGGAGATTTATACAACTATTTGTGCATAATATATTGTTTTTCCTCTCCGATGCACACCACATGTAGGTTCTGTTTTCTGACTTTTTGGTGGAGTGGAGGGGGTTAATTGCTAAGACCAGAGAACATCCGCGTGGTAGCCAAAAAATACTAGAGGTTTTGGCGTTTGTCTATTTGCCAAACGCAGGGCGCGCGATGGGGCGTGATCATGGGCGTCGCCAGGATTTTTTTTCTAGAGGGGGGCAAAAAGTTTTTGGCAAAAAAATGCTTGTATTTCTCAACACATTCTCGATTTATCAGTCTTAGAGGGGGGCAGGGACATTTTGCCCCCCCCCCCCCCCCAACTCATTAAATTTACACCACTTTGTCTTCGCGCCTCTTTCTCTTTTTTTTTTTCTTTTCGTTTTCTTCCCTTTTTTTTTTTTTTTTTTTTGCTTTTCCAGGGGGGGGGGGGGGCAAGTGACCCCCCTTGCCCCCCCCCCCCTCACGACGCCCATGGGCGTGATATAATTTGTTGTGAGTTTAAGTTATTAGAAAATGGCCAAAAAAAATGGCACTGGGATAATCAGTTCAAACATTTCATCATTTCACCGATGGCAGTGAGAAGGAATCATTTTTGTTCGTATATCACAAACGGGTTTCGTTGCATTGATTGGCGTTCAATTTCCAGTTTGATAACGTCACAGCGTTTAAATGCCTAACATAAACACAGCTTGACTATTTCAGCACTTGTGCACAATCATCGCAATATCTACCTCCTCACAGAAGTTAAAAAGTTATAGTTCAAAGTATTGTGTTAAATCGCTTGTAATTTGATATGTGATGACATCATTGTGACGGTGTAGCATGAATTTAGGTTTTATAAAATACGGACTCATTGGTGGTATTGCGCATGCTTATGCATAGATAATTAGGAGAGGGACGGTCACGTGAGAGGGTTTAACCAATAAAAGGGAAAAAGAGTCCGATTTTCATACGAGTCCGATTTTCATATGACAACTGCACAAAAAAATATATATCCATGGTCAAGGAACACGATATTTATTTGCCGACAAACACCCATCCCCTCTGGTAACACCCCTGAGGATTGAGGTATTGGGCGCGCGGGCCTCAGCGCATGGGCTTTATTTTGTTAATGATTCTTGATTGATATAATTGTATTTTTTTGCTACCACGCGCATGGTCGCGTGTCCTAGCAATCATTAGACCTATACTTTATTTCAGTGCGATGGATGAGTCCTATAGGTCTAAGAGACGAGTCTCGTGATTGTCATTGCGTGATACATCACTTGTACTTTAATCTTCAAATCTCAGCTGTTCGTTACTGTAAGACCTTCATTGCTACCGTATCAAGGCACAGTGCCAGACTGATTCCTACAATACCACGGTTGATTAGGACGCAGCGTCACGAACATAGCTTGATATGAAACGAGTATTGGCCTGATAGAGCATGTTTCACATGCATGGGTAAATAGTATACGAACCACTCGGCCCTATTGCAGCCAACTTCACGGAGATATAGGTCGGGTTGCTGGGGATGAACAGAGTTTGATCCCAAGAACAAACAGGAATATTGGGTGATTTATTGCCCGCCCCCGCCATCTCTGGATTAGCAGCATTCGAAGTGAAGCAGACAAGCATTCGTGTTGTAAGGCTACACTAAGCAAGTTGTCAAGTTGGGCATAGGAGTGACAAATGTACCTATACAGGGTGTTTCCAAAAAAAAAAAGAAACCCAACTTCAAAGAATGAGTATGGACAGACGATACGTTTACTGGCTATAAAACTGGTATCATCTGAAAGCGTAATCTCTATGCTTTTCAATGATACCGTGTTTAGGATTTCTGAGTCATGCATCACTGAGCATCATTGTCTTGAAAACTGGATGCAAACATGCAGTTGGTTCACTTTCATAAAAAAAAGCACACACTGGGCACGGTGTGCCTATTGTTACGAAAATGTCTGTGAAATGGCTTGAATGTTAATCCTCAGGAAAATGGCACTTTGTTTTGGACGTGGCTTGGTCAAAACGAGAAATTCATGACAAACAATAAAATCCAGTTTTGAAACCAAACCCGACTTGTTTTGGGGTTTCTTTTTATGCACTTGTTTCTTCTTCTTGAATACTTATTCTCATGCACACCATGGGCCGTATTCACAAAACGACTTAAGTCATAAAAAAGCAAGCACCCCACTTAAATATGCGACTTAGACTAGTTTTACAATTTAAGCAGTATTCACAAAGCATTTTCACTAAGCGCCCCACTTATTTTCATGACTTAAATCTAAGTGTGGTCGGACCTGTCTTAAGTCAAGTTAAGT